TTGAGCATACATAAAATATTCACATTAGCAGGTGAAGAAAATAATTAAAAAAGAAGTGATATTTAGCATCCTTAAATTTGCTGCATAAAACTTCATTGAACCCTTAAACTCTAATAAAGTTAGCAAAAATTTCCCTGTAAGATTACATTGATTTTGGTAAATATCGCTCCAGGACATCGTTTTAAGTATACCCCATCCATGAAACATTTATTTTTATCCACAAACTGTAACCTTAAGCCTAGACTTAATTAATAGATGTTTAACAAAATTCTCCCTAAATTAATCGTAATAAAGGAAAAAGAAAACCGCGATATTTTATTGACGACCTTGAAATAAAGGTTTTCCCTCCCCTGCTGGGATGTGAGCACGCTTTGAAACAAAACATAAGCGATGTGTTGAAATGAAAAGTGAGCGTGTTGAAGAATAAAATGAAGTTGATTGATGGGTGTGGTGTCTAAATTCTTGTTTAATATATAGTTTGCGCAGAGAATGAATAACTTCCGTAACCACTGGGGTTTGTACATAAATTAACGTATGAATATTCATATATTAGTTCTAAATATAAGTATTTTCAAACAGGAGAATTTAATATTCAAATTGATTTTAATTAAATACATAAAAGTATATATATACAGTACCCTACAAAAATGGAAGAGGCACTCTCAGTTTTTGAAATTCTCAAGAAATACTTGAAGGACTATTTTGTTATTTTAGATGCAATTAGTTCATGCGATTTTTCATACTTAACAATACGCTTTAAAACTTCGAGAAGCTTAAGGGAACGAAATAAATTACAAAAGAAAACAAGCGTTTTTGAACACTATGCCAAAAAATCTAGCAATAAGAGTGTAACTTATACAGATTACTTAGGTTATTTTCAATAATTGCATAAAATTTCATAAACCTGGCTTGAATAAGACGCGGACATTTTTAAAAGAAATTTATTTTTTTGGTCTTAAGTTTTTCATTTTTGCTATAACTTTAAAAATATTCAATAAAATTTTAAAAAAAATTTCAGCAATTAAAAAATAATTACCAATTTGTTTTGATGTCTGAAAAAATTTCCTTAAAAACTGTCTTAAACAAATTTCATTCTGAATCATAAAAGTTTTACTAAAAAATGACATCGGCAATGTGGGAGAACATCCTCATTAAAACAATGTTTTCTTTCCTTTATACCAGTGTTTCCCAAAGTGTGGTACGCGCACCCCCAGGGGTACGGGAACAATTTAGCGGGGGTACGCGTTCTTATGCTAAATATCTTGCAACAAAGGAAAATATTTAAAAAATTTATTTAAAAACAAAGCTAGCCATGAAAATTTACGATTACGTATTTTTCTATTGGTTATTTTTTCAGAGTTAACAGTTAATAATTAGTGGTGTCAATAGAAAGTTGTGGTTTTTAACTGGCGTGCAATTTTTTTACAGTAAAAAATACATTCATTTTTTTTATTAGTGGTACACAGCGTTACGAAAAATTTAGAAAGGGTACATGAGTTTGGGAAACACTGCTTTGTACTATCACAGTTTGGTGTCCGGATGATTATTGCTACGTATTATCATTTGTCATTAAATCTTGTCTTATGGTACAAAATAAAATTTGTAGAAAACTTCTCATTTTGATCTCTTTTTTAAAAAAGTACTTGAAACTCTAAAATTTTTGAGATATTAAAATCATGCCTTTTTCATAACTTACCAAATACGATTCACTACAAGATAATTTCGCGCATGCGCAGTGCATAAGAACTACTTGCAATGCTCATATCTTGCATAGGAATTTTTTTTTTTTTTTAAATTTCAAATTAATAATCTTGTAAATATTTTTTTTTATAATGTGCATATCTCAACAAAAATATTTAAGCTAGGTTTATGAAATTTTATGCAGTTATTGCAAATAACAACCTAAGTAAAAGTTACAAGCTAACTGCTTGATTTTCTGGAATAGGGTGTTCTAAAATACTTTTCTTTCGTAATTTATTGTCTGTCCCTGAAAGCTTTAAACCTTATTGCTAAGTATAAAAATTGTATGGGCAGTTGGTTTGATTGTAGTTCCGGGTGGCACTCACGGAAATGCTCACGGTTTCGGCACCGCTTGGCGCGGTCGAGCTCTCTGAAAACAGCAAAATTGAGAATATGGTAACCCAACCCGATCTATGCGTCAAATCTTGCTACAACGTGCAACCCTATTACGTTGATTGAGTAGGAAAATGATGGTTCTATTCTAGTTAAAAATTTCTTTCTTATTCACTTCTATCTTCACACCGCNTCCGCCAAGAATGCCAAGCGGTGCCGAAACCGTGAGCATTTCCGTGAGTGCTTCCGGGTGAGTAGCCAAATCTTTCAGCAAAAAATAAGCACCTTTTAAGCACTTAAAAAATATTTTAAGCACTATATACATTAACAAAATAATTTTCAAAGACTTTACATAATCATGAAAAAATAACTAGTTTCTGTCAAGGAACCCTTTTTCTTGATTACATTAGCCAAGATAGAAATATTTTTCGGCTCGATTTCAGAGGGAGAAAAATGAAGCCAGAAATTGAGAATCGCTTGCAAAATGCAGCCAACAAGTTGCACATGAAAGGGCAAGAATAATTCCCACTGAATCCAGCTCAGTATATGCGGACCAGCAAACATGTAAAATGATAGGCGTTTTCATACGATACGGAATGACGGTATGCCGAAATGCTTCGTGAAAACGTTGATAAGAACCACGCTTTTGCATAATGCGTGGCAAAAATCAACATGGTAAAGAAAAGAAAATTTTCAATTTCGAAAAGGGAAAACCAAGCGCTTTTCAAAAACACCTTTAAGGGTTTTTAACCCCTTCCTTCTCGTTCCCGTGATATTTCCGGGCTGGAGTGTTCAGCAGTAACATGCCAATAATAATAAATTTCTTTTGCCCGGAAAATATTTTATTCTTACTTTACGCACCAGATAGCAGTACCAGGATATTTTTAAGGTAATTGTAGATAGTTAGAGAAGAGATTAAAACAATAAGAGATGTAAGAAGGAAACTCAGTACTACTGTCCAGATTGTGACGTTGGCCTCTGTATTTCATGCTTTGAAATTTATCACACAAGAAAAAATTCCTAAAATTCTTTTTTAATGTTTGAAAAACACAATCTTTAATTTTATTTGATTGCTAAAAACCAACATTAAGTCATAATAACCGTAAATGTTAAATTTTCCTAAAAACTTTTATTTTTTGAAACTTTAAGCTAAAAACAAATCAAAAATGAATATATTGTTCATACAAATATTTTTTATATAATTTTCAGGGATAAAAAAATAGGCACTTTTATGACCATTTTATATTAAATGGTATGGTTTCTACTAAAAACAAATTAATCTGAGTTTTATTTGGAATTATATCTTAGGAAAATTTCTAAGTCTCTGGACAACAAATTAACAAGTCTTTTTGAAAATGATTCCTATCAGTCTAAATGAAATCAGAGAAGCTTATGAGCCCTTTAGCCAATAACCACTTCCCTACGTTAACAGATCTCTTTCTTACTATATAGAAACGATGCATTGAAGGGCCTGAAGCTTTTAAAATGAGAACACAATTTTTGAAGAGGCAAGAATAAATAATATTAATACAAATACAAAAGCATGGCTGCTGCACACTAAGGTTGCATAAGTATAATTTTTAATCTGGCATAGGCTTAGTAATTCTAGAAAAAGTTTTTATGGAACCTATTCTGCTAAGGTTAAAGATAACTCTTGTAGCAGAAATTTGAAACTTCTGATGTTTATTTATTTTTTTGAAAGATAAAAATGTTTGTAGACTTTTCTACATGGCATAGATTAAAGTATTCAAAACTCGCGTACTCGCTTTTTAAACTTTAAATTTTAGCTTCTTGCTACAAAAAGTAATTACAAAATCTCTAATTACAAACACTTAAGCAACGCATTTTAATCTATTAGATTCCGGTAGCAATAAATTCCTCTTACAGCTATTTAACATTAAAACTATAAATCCTCTTCATAATAAGCAACTAATGTTGCATTTATTGGGTTTAGATGTATGAAAACTTAAGAATTAATCAGCTATTTCTCTGCATTAGAAGCTTATTTACAAAAATCACATGCAGAACCAGGTTTGTTAATAGCGTACAGCTGCAAACATGAATAGGGGAAAAATCCAGTAGACTCAACGAAATAATAAATTTCATAAATATTTAACTCTAGGGAATGTTAGGGATCATGGTCATCAAAATAAAACTACATTATTCAGGGGTGATCGTGAAAAAAGTGAAGAACCCTGATTATTTCATGTGCAAAAATCCATAAAATTATGTACCACACGCTTCATATTTAACAAATGCTTTTATTTGAAAAAAAAAATTAGTTATGAAAAATCTTAGTTCTTACAAGCACTGCCAAGCTGGATGTTCAAAGGCTCGTGAATACTAACCGCAACGCGCAGCTCAAACAAGGTAAATATGACAATCCATCCACGATATGTAAAATCGTGCGAAAAGGAATAGTCATTAGCGGAGAACCAGACGCAGTTTCAATATTTGGCATGCCAAAATTCACCAAACTACAAGTGTACGTCAGTACCTCGCTAGCGGGAATCGGCGAAAATCTCGGATTATAAGCCTTTGATTAGCGGAAGCACGAGATCCAATGGTCTTGAAAATCTTGATATTCGCAGAAAAATCACACCATGCTATTTCTTCAATCACCCCTGAATATCTTCCAGTTATGATTGACATGAAAAGAACCGTAAATGTGATGTATCATGTTTACTCATAATTTTGAATAGGTATAGACACTTAATCCATCAAAGATAGTAAAAAGACTATTTCAATAGGGATTTCTTTTGGAAACTTATTATATCTAAAAATGCATAAAAACCAGAATTTTTATTAAACCAGGAGAAATTGGCAAAATCCAGTAGTAGACAGTTATGGTAGTAACATATATTCGATGTATAAAAATTCTGTACAGTAACAATGTATACACTTTTTTAAAAGAAAAATCAAAAATTGTTAAAAACTTTTTTATTTGTATAAAAATACAAGCATCTTCTAGTCAAAAAGACCTGCAAAGAAAAGAAAAAATACAATTAGTAACTATATCATATAATATATTGACTTTACCAAACACAGCATTAGAAATAAGGACAAATTTCACATAAGCACAGAATGTAAGTTTTGAATATGCCTATATATGCTAATAATTGTTGATAGAAAAAAAGGCACATCGATAGTAAATAATTTTCATGGATGAGATTGACTAAAAGGCAAAAAAGCTGAACCTCCACGCGAGTAAATCTTTCGTGTGTGAAATCGTTTAATAATGAATTCCGGATAATAAATAACTATGCGTACTAATTTATGAATATACGAATGATTACATCGATACTTAACATTTAGAAAAAAGTAAAATTATCAATAAAAAAAATAAGTTAGAAATTATATTTTCTTCAGTTCACACAAAGGAGACAATTATTACTTGAAAATCTGCTTAGTATAGCACATTAAACTACTGAGAAAATACATTTACGTTCACTTTCTGTAAATAAATACTATTATGTGATTTATACTGATCTTAGATTCCAAAATCGCTATAATGGATTCTGAAATCGCATAAATATGGAACTCGATATTAGATTTTAAAAAATCCAAATCATAGATATTATAACCGCAGAAATGAATCACAACAAGGAATTTTAAACTTGTGTGAATACGAATCACTACATAGGATATTAAAAATGTGTAAATAAGAGCTGCTACATTGAATTTTTAAATCTCGTAATAAGAATCTCAAAGTACGATATTTAAATCGTGTGAATAAGAATCGCAACGTGTAACTTTTAAATTAGGTAAATACGAGAATCGATGCTTGACATTAAAATCACATGAATAAGAATCAAGATATTAGCAGATTCCGGGCTATGGATTCATATGAAGCTTGTTTATATTGCTTTTGTTTAGCCATAATTAATAAAAATTTACAAGATTAATTGAGTGGGCAAATAAATATTTTCACCACATATCAACCTTTTCTTTCCTGACACATGTCACTTTTTTCAACGTGGAAGAAGGAACGCCTGAATTACGAAAATACGAGCAATCTGGCAGGCAGGTATCTTCGGTGCGCAAAAGCGGCGACAATAGCTAAAATGCGGAAGGATTGACAGATAATCTTCTGTTTATCCTTGAAAATCGGAAATAAATATAATTCTTTTATTTCAATGGCTAAATTTTCCGAAAAAGCAAAATCTTAGACACAAAAGTAAAAGAAGCGGAAAAATCTCATTCCTGATAATAGGTTCAACTAAACATTCGGTACTTTCAATCTCTGAATAATTCATATATCTGAAGTTACTATTTTCTCCACAAAAAAAACAATTTAAAAAAGCTATAACATTAATTGAAACGATAGGTATAACCAAAACTGCTATGATCTTAAACTTAAAATAAAGAATTGAAGCTATAAAATAGCTAAAAAACAAACAAACAATATATGTACTTCTTTGAAGTGTAATATAAAACTAAAATTTTAAATTGATTAATAAATAAAAAAATTCTGAAACCACAAAAGTGTAAAAATATAATTCGCTCTAGAAATGATCTGTCGTCCCTTCCAACACCCTACACTGTCATGTGATTGGCAGTAAACAGGGACTAAGAAATTCTAAAATCTAAACATGCAAAACTAAGAAAATATTCACAAAAACTAGAATCAGCAGTAAGATCTTTTCATATTGTATCAAAAGGATCCATTGATTTAACATCATGCTCAAGCATATAACAAGTTTAAAAACTAACAGTAAGAATTTAATTCAATTGGATGTAGCAAATTAGTATTAGAACACATCTTTACATTACTCTATAAATAATGAAACCTAGCTGACTAGGTCACAGTGTTAAAAATCTAAAAAATGAGAAAAACAAAGCATTGTAAAGATTTGGTCTAATATTAGGATATCAGAGCTGAAAGGGTTATAACAAAGCAAATGTCATGAAACTGTGTACAGTAGTTGGAACATTTTTCAAATAAAGAAAAAGCAGCAGGTGCAGGTTAGTAAAATGCCACATTAATAGTGAATTGAAGATTAAAACCAATACCTCAAATATTATACAAATTTTAATTCTAATTTAAAAAAGAAAGATAGATGTTTCAGAAAGATATAATTACATTTTTGATTATGTTCCAAGACATTAAAACAATCAAAAGTAATAAGTTAATGGCGTACAGGGTTTCCGCTACGGTAGCTTTTTTCGCAAAATGCGAAAAGACCCCTCAAAAATGCTAAAATTCAACAAAGCATTTTCGCTATTTCGCAAGAAGAACCATGACGCTTGCGTTCACACAAAAAACATGATCAAACAAGATGAAGCAAAGCAATCAACAAAAATGGCTAGAATGTATGAGTTATAATAAATGTGTAAATAATAAATGTGTTTTTTTTTTGTTATAGGTATTCTTTTTGATATTCTTGTACATTAAGCTATNGTCGAAGGGGAGGGAAAATGAAAACCTGGACCCGAGGATGAAACAACTACGACACCCTTTACATTACTCGATAAATAATGAAACCTAGCCGACTAGGTCACGGTGTTAAAAATCTAAAAAATGAGAAAAACAAAGCATTGTAAAGATTTGGTCTAATATTAGGATATCAGAGCTGAAGGGGTTAAAACAAAGATGGCATATAAAAGTGATTTAAAACTTTCTATAGGCTGATAAGTAATTCAATTAAATTCACTTGAAACATTAATTTGAAAGTGGTAATATAGATTAACCGCCCTTGATAACAAGCTACTTAAAGAGATGAATTGATTTACTATTGAATATAATCACTTGAATAACTGATCAGCAATTCTGTCTTTTCATTTGCATCAAAAGGATCCATTGATAAAACATCATGTTCAGTTAATATTAAACCATTAACAGATTGGTTATAAACAATATTTGCGACTGAGCCACAGGATAAAGGCACTTTAAGCTGAAGTCGCACATTAACATACAGTAAGAAGTCACAGGGGTCTGTCCAGACATTTTGTGAAAGGTCCGTTTTTGGTAAAATTGTGAAAAAATTACTCGTAATTTGTGAATATAAAATAAACGTTAAGTCACATTCTTTCAACCANTTTGTGAGCTATATAGGGCTAACTATATTTATTAGTTTTAATTGGTGGGAAAACAGCTAAACATATATTTAAATAATGTTATAGTAAGTGAAATAGTTTAATATAGCTGAAATATCATGGCTAAATATCCCATAGATTACGCTTTGAGTGGGTACCATTTTTTAAAAGACAAAAATAAGAAACAAAATTCTCTGTATTTTCCCAGTTTGCAAGGAAAAAATCAAAATTCCCTGCATTTTCCGTTATTTTAGGTGATTTTTAAATTCCCTGTATTTTCCAGGTTTTCCCTGTTCTCCATGTCGAGTGGCAACCCTGAGTAAGAAGTCAGATATATATTATAATCAATTTATCATGAAAATAAATAATAAAGAACTAGAAAATCAGAAATTAGATCTTTTCATTATGTTTCAAAAGGATCCATTGATAAAGCATCATTTTCATAGCACTTTATTATGAATAAGAAATAAAAATTTAATTAAGAAATTAATTTAAAAAATTAAACTTTTAACTTGGTAAATCATGCCATTAAAAGCTGCAATAAATTATAGAAAAACCTTACCAAATCCCATGTCATCATCTTCTTCCTCAGATTCTTCTTTCTTTTCTTCCTTTTTGCTCTCTGCCTTAGCATCACCAGCGTCAGCTGCAGGAGCAGAACTAGCAGCAGGTGCAGCTCCAACTCCAGATCCTACATTTGTGATCAGTTGTTTAACATCAACACCCTCCAAAGCTCTTGCAAAGAGACCTGCAGAAATAAATGTACATAAAAAAATCATTAACTAAATAGAAATTATTATATTAAATATTATATTTAATATAATTATTATATTATATTTAATAAATTATTATATTTAAATAAATATCAGGCATAACTAAGCAATTAAGTAAATTTCTGAGCAGCAGTTATTCCAGAGTTTTTCAAAAAATTTTTAAAATCAGGTGCCTTTAGATTATTTTTTTGGAAAAATTGCGAAAAATGTACAACTTGCAAACATCAAAATAAGGTTCTGTTCAATAAGGAAAAAACACGTATATTAAGAACCTTTAGTTTTAGTCTTATAGAAATGAGCTTCTTTATTTGTAAAAGAAAAAGGCTTTGTTTCAGATTTACTTAAGAGATAAAACAATTATAATTTAAAAATGCTTAATCTATCTTGGAATGATAAAAAAATTAGCACTTGTCGATCAATTTTACATTGGCTTCTGAATATGTATAAAATCCAAAGTTAGCAAATTAAATCATTCCTGGTATAACTAAATTAAACTATCATAGAAATTTCAAAAATGTTAAAGAAAGCAAATTCTCCTATGAATAACTTGTCTCACCAAAGATAACTCTGCTTTGGGAGTTGTTGATATTTCAATGGCAGCAAGAATTACTAAATTATAATTAAAAGTACCTATTAAAAACCGAAACTAGAACAAATTAAATAATAAAATGATTTGCAAAGAGCAGGGGTCTGTCCAGACATTTTATGGAAAGTCCTGCTTTTGTAAAACTTAACTCAGTGTAAAATCATAATAAAAAAACAGTGCAAAATTACAGTAAAAGAATTCAATTTTCAAAAAATGATTGCATTGCTGCTTCTAAATTAGAGATGCAACTACAAATATTTGGGATTTAGCCTATACTTACTGCCCAATGCAGAATACTAATTTCGGAGAAATAATGGAAGAAGCGTCTGCCGAAGACAAAACTTGGTGTAGGGTTCGTTAACCGACCCAAATTTCTGAACCCTGAAGAGGGTAAAATTATCTTTAAATAAAATATAATATACCTGGCCAATAAGACTCCACATCCACATTAGCAGCTTTCAATAAAGTTGCTATCTTCTCTGGCTGTAAAAGAAATTAAACTTCTTAGCAACAAAGTGTTAACAATGTGTAAATTTAGAAGAAAATGAAACAAAAGCTGCACATCAGACTCATTAAATCAGTTCAACTATCACGTATTATCAAGCTTATAACTATCATCATTTGAGCAGCAGATGACATTCAAGAATGAAATATAGACAATTTACTCTTATTACAGACAACTAGGATTAGATGTGTCTATTTTACGTTAAATAATAGTCCAAAGAAATTTAAACAGTGTGTTTAACAATTGTTATAATTAGAACAGACCAAGATAATTCCAAGTGCTTTATAGTCATCACAAAAACCATACATATTAAACTTCACTCAAGAAAAGTCTGCTCTTACTATGCTGCAGAGCACTCATAAGATATCTGCACTTAATATACCATAACTCTAAAGCCAGTCAACAAATAAAAACATACCTACAAAAACATGTGGAGGTCTGCTAAAGGTGACTTAAGCTATAACCCTCTGGATGTTCCTTTAAATTTCCCGCAAGTAGATATTGAATTAAACAATTTTTTGAGAAATTAAAAAATAATTACCAATTTGTTTTGATATCTGAAAAAAATTCATTAAAAACTCTCTTCAACAAATTTTACACTGTATCATTATAAAAGTTTTACTAAAAAATGATATCGGCAATGTGGGGGAACATCCTCATTAAAAGAATGTTTTCTATTCTTTATACTATCAGTTTGGTGTACGGATGATTATTGCTAGGTATTATCATTATTCATTAAATTTTGTCTTATGGTACAAAATAAAATTGGTAGAAAACTTCTCATTTTGATCTCGTTTTTTAAAAAAGTACTTGAAACTAAATTTATGAGATATTCAAATCAAGCCTTTTTCAGATCCATGTTCATTACTTGACAAATATGAGTAACTACAAAATTATTTCGCGCATGTGCAGTACAAAAGAACTACTTGCATATTTAGAAGAAAATGAAACAAAAGCTGCACATCAGACTCATTAAATCAGTTCAACTATCATGTATTATCAAGTTTAAAACTATCATCATTTGAGCAGCAGATGACATTCAAGAATTAAATAGATAATTTACTCTTATTACAGACAACTAAAATTAAATGTCTGGTTTTAACCATGGTTAAAACCAGATAAGTCTATTTTATGTTAAATAATAGACCAAAGAAATTTAATCAGTGTGTTTAACAATTGTTATAATTAGAATATACTAAGATAATTCCAAGTGCTTTATAGTCATCACAGAAACCATACATATAAAACTTCACTGAAGAAAAGTCTGCTCTTACTATGCTGCATAGCACTTATAAGATATCATATCTGCACTCATTATAGCATAACTCTAATGCCAGCCAACAATTAAAAACATGCCTACAAAAACATGTGGAGGTCTGTTACAGGTGAAAGCTATAACCCTCAAGGACCCTCTTCAGAGATGTTCCTTTAATTTTCCCACAAGTAAATACTGAATTAAAATTAAAAACCAAAATTAAAGCTGCAAAGCCTTGACAATTATTCAGCTGCATGTTTCAAGACAAAATTAACACATGACTATCATTAGCCATATCGACCATATGCGCTCAAGAGAACATAAAAAAAATTGAGGACACTTCTGTATTGTAATCTGTGGCACCAACTGCAAACACCAAGGTGACCAAGACTTTAAATTTGAAAATTTAAAAAAAAAAAGAAAGTAGCCTGGAGGTAGCTATGAGTTATAAATCGGCCCTTTATGTGATGCTTTTTTCAGTTTCTTGTGGGTTTCTGACAAGTCTAATTATGCCCCAGATCACAATACAGAATTATCGCAAAATATTTGACAGATCATATGCTTTTCACATCTAAAAGCTTCTGAAGTATAAAAACCTAAATTACTTTCAGAAAAGAAAATTTGAAAAAAAAATTCTTATAACAACAAAGATTTAAATATAGGAACTTATATAAATCAACTTAATAAATACCTATCAGACTCATTAAATCAGTTCAAAACTTTCATTTTAAATCAAGCTATGAAAAGTCATCACATAGGCATTGCGTTAGCAGAATGAAACTAATGTTGCATGTATTAATAGAGAAATAAACATAGCGCACTCAGTTCATAACTTGCTTTTCATTGCTTTCATAGTCACCCACATCTCGTAACAATAGTTAATGCTTTCAGTTTCATCATTAAAGATTATCTCACAGGCACTTGTTAAGGTGCCAAAGAGCTTTTCTCCACGCAAAACATTAAAAAAATGCAACCACGAGTTAGATAAAGCCGGTTACATTCTATGATTTTTTAGTTCTTTTCCACGTGTCACTACCCTGTTGTCACCTAAGCTTACCTATTATATAGTCACGGGTAAAGATTCAAAATTCTAAGCAACGATTCAATTTCCAAACAAAAATATGCAGATAAAATTTTAAAACTAGTTTCTATCACAATGGACGCAAAAGCCACGTGGTCAAGCAACCATAAATTTTCAAACTATATGTTACAGAAATTAAAAAATATGAATTATATTAACAATTTAAATAACATAAAATCATATGAATTGAAATACAATCTTGAAAAGAAAATTTTAGATCAAAATCATACTTAAGCTATACTTGATGTGTATTAACGATTCAAATTTATATACTTACTGTAACAGCAATTTCATCATCTTGTAAGATCAGAGCAGAATAAACACAGGCTAATTCATCAGTAGAAGACATTATTAAATCGTAATAAATGGTGTAAGTTGCTTTAAAATATTAAGCCTTAGCCCACCTAAGTTGGGAACTATACACCTTTATTCAGATGGTACGAGAAATGGTGAGAAAACGTGTTAGTTAAGCTTGAATACTATTGTTGCCATTTTTTATTTATGAATTGGCAAAACTTATGGACATGAAGGCCGTGTATGTAGCATTACAGTTTATCGAAGAAAAAAAAATTTGCCAAAATTGGCGATTTAAACTAATTTTATTTTTTTAAACACAACGGAAAGCTAGTTTAATCGACTTTGAAAGAATAGTATATTAATGACTTTTTAATCTTTGCTATAACGATTAAAAAAGTGCAAATTAATCGATTAAAATATGTCAACATTAAGTATTTTGTAAAAATTTCTATTATTACGCACCAAAACGATCGTCTAAAATTTGGAAGAAGTTCATTTCTTTATTACCGTTAAGTTACCATTAAGTTGTGAAAGTTCCGTTTGTTTAGTTTTCTCTGCTTTTCAAAGCGTACTCAACCTCTCTATTTTTTCCGGAATTTATTGCAAGCAGAACTTGCTCGATACTAGTTTATGTAGATAAAAGTTATACAGAATTTTTTAAACGTTAATATTCCAAAACATTATTCAGAAAAGAAAATGAGTTTACGTGTTCTCGTTGGGTGCAAAAGAGTGATTGATTATGCTATTAGAGTAATATAATCTTTTTTATGAATCAATACATTATATAATAGCAATATATGTTAAATTGATTTGTTTCCTTTTTTTTAATGTGACTGTATTTATTTGCTGTGTTTCTATTCTACATACTTTTTTTAAAGTCACAAACAGGTGTTATTTTCATTTTGTTATTAACCAATAATAGTAACTCTAGCTAAGTTAAGTGTCTAATCTATCAATCGCAAATATACAATTGAGTAATGAAATTAAACACTAAATACTGATATTAGTTTTAAGACATTATCAAATTAAGCACTTTATAGCTCGTAATGTTTCACTTTTGTTTAAATTAACTTGTATGAAGTGCTTTATTTTGCTTTCTATTATTTTTATAATGCTTTATAATAAACATTCAATAATACGCATTCTCTTGAGAGGATTTCGTACGGATTTTTCAGAATTTTTTATTCTAGAATTGAGAGCTAAGTTGTCATACTTAATAAATGGTGTCATTAAATTCGGAAAAGATACACCCATTGCTTTGTTTATGCTATAAAGAGCAGCCACATGTGAAAAACTAAAAAAAAAAAAAAAAAAANAAAAAAAAAAAAAAAAAAAAAATTGCGAAAAGAGAAACACTGATACGTTTAAATTTACTGATTCAAAGCATCCCTTTATTGAGAAATAGAGGGAATATTTCTCCTCTGTTGTCTGTCTGACCAACTACAATTATCAAACTGTCAAATGGACTTTGAAAAACAAGTTATACCCTTCGAGAAGCTTTTTTTTTTTCTGTGATTCTTTTTTAATCTCATGTCGCTGCCCAAAAGTTGCTAGAACTTAGTAATTATTCCAGATGACAATGAGGAAATCTTATTGATATAAAATGAATTATTATGTAATAATTATTATGTATGTATTAATTATTATGTATGTTAATAATTAATGTATGCAAATTTTTGAGTTGTGTCAGTATCTTTCAGCGAACTTCATCTTTCAAAAATATTTGCATGTTTATGTGTATACATTACTTATAATGTAGCAAAAAATTATCTTCTTCTTCATAAAGTAACCATATGAGGTGTGTAAAAATTATTAGGTAGAAAGAAAAAGGGGTTTTAATGTTGCAGTGTAAAATGATAAAACAATAAGATTTTACACTTATGGCTTATCATTTATTTAGATGGGGTGTACACAGAGAGCATGTGTCTGTCTTGCTCTTAAAAATTATGAATGACCCTTTTATCATCATAATAGTTAAAAAGTGGTTCATAAATATGTTTAGACACACCTACATTATTTTAATGCTTTTAAAGATTCTAAGAAAATGTTTATAACAGCAGGTCACTGAGTTACACTTTGTGACTACAGAAGTATATTTCACAGAATTTTTGTATAAGGATAGAATGTCAACAGTGTCTATTACTTGAATATTGTGGAAGGGTTAATTAAAAACCCAAGCTATCTGGCTTCTGCATTATGAACTTTTGACAGCCCTATTTCTTTATCCCTCAGTGAGATTTTGGCATAACACTGAATTACATCGCTCCACAGTTTTTATTTTAATTCTGTTAAGTCTTTTTTTTTCCTTCATGATTCAGATGCCACAAAGAAAAACAATTTTGTTTTATTATCCAAACTGGTGTAACAACAGTTTAAGGGACCATACAAAATATGGGATAGTCAGTGCAAGAAGTGTGTAGATGTTTAATTGATAATGCTTTGAAGATTATTTATGTATGTATTTATCCAGTCAATAAATATTTTTTAATTTTATTTCATTACTTTTAGGACACACTTGATAATACTTTTTATGTATAATATATCTAAATAAACACTTTCAAATATTTAGATTAGGATAAAAGGTGACAAAAGTGGAGTAGTAACTGAAGGTGTTAAGCATAGTTTAAATCCTTTTGATGAAATAGCCGTGGAAGAAGCAGTCCGAATGAAAGAAAAGAAAATATGCAGTGAGATTATAGCTGTTTCTGTTGGTCCGCAATCTTCTCAAGTAAGCTTAAATTTTACACTTTATAAATGTTAAATTTTATGTTTTTTTTATTTTTATTATTCATGTTTTATGAATTTATTGCTTATTATTGTTTTCTTTTTCTTGCTTAATAATTGTTAATAATCTCTCAGCTTCCTTGGGACAATGGTTTTTACTGAGTTGAAAAGAGGACAGATTGCTATGTAACAAAATCCTGTAAAAGTATCTGTTACATTAAAATTTCAAACAGAAGCCTACTAATGTTATAAAGCATGTTTTTCTGAAGGTAGCACAACATCAAGCAAGGGATCATAGACCTAAGGAAATTACAAATTGTTATGACTGAAAATTGAAGTGAATGTTAGGAAAAAAATAGGAAAAGCAGACTAATGACGATTTTGCAAATTACTAAAGTGTTAAATTTAAACTCTGAAATAAAGATGTCTCACAGAAAACTCAAATGAAACTTAAATTACTTGGACTTGAAAGTTAATCAATGTCCAATGCAAAAAACACTATCTCTCAGCTACATATCAAAAATCATTGTTATGCTCAGGCATACAGAATTAAAAATTCTGGACTTAGAAATGTGGGATATAGAAACTATCATGGATTGATGAAATCAATAATATCTTTTACAAATGATATCTTGAAAATAATTCCTTAGGAACTGCCTGAAGGTCTTCATTTTGATTGCATAGAGCTAATTGTGAAGTCTGGAAGCAAACAGTTAATAGTTTGGGGAGCGTATGGTTAGAATGGTATTGGTTATCTTATTACTATAGAGAGCAACAGAACTGGAAATGAGCATCAAATTTGTTTAGAAAAAGTTATTAAAAAATTAATGGAAGATGGGCTCTTAGATGGTGACAGAGTATATCTGGAATACACCTGAAATTGCCTTCAGAAATTCTAGATATCAGTGTGATCAAAAATCTCTGAGATGAATTTAAAATGTATTTAAGTTTTGAATAATCTAATAAAGGAAGTTTCTCCATCTGACATCACTGTAGAAGCTTAATATATTCCTTGATAATTAATGCTGTTTGTAGAAGAAAAAGTGGAAACACCAATTGTTAAATGAAGTGGCAGGTCAATTGGCCAGTTTGATTAAAATGACTATTTCATGCACAATTTTTTAAAATTATTGCTCCTTCAGATATCTTTATTTTATTATAAATAGTTTTTCTGTCATTAATTTGTTATATTTTAGTAGACCAAATATCTATTTTTGATAATTAAATTGTTGTGTTTTAGGAAACTTTACGAACAGCTTTGGCTATGGGTGCAGACAAAGGAATTCATGTTGAAGTAGATGGAAAAGATTATGAAACTCTGTTGCCTTTTCATGTATCTAAAATTCTTGCTGCATTAGCTCAAAAGGAAAAAGTTGATTTAGTTATAACAGGAAAGCAAGTAAGTTAAATTTGGATTCCGTGTGTAATATTTCCATCTGTGTATATTGTTTAGAAACACATTTGTATATATTGAAAAAGAAATCTTTACAATTTGATTGTGAATAATATGTATAATTTAAAATTCATTCAATGTTAATTTTAAAATATTAGTTCATGAAAGATTTTTGAACTTCTTTCTGGACTAAAGCTTTTTTTAATTAATGCTATTTTTTTCACAAATAAAAGTATTTTTTTAAAATCAGTAATTTTTTTAAAACAAATTTTCCCTTTTGTCAAAGGAGCAATTTATTCAATTTTGCATTTATGAGTTATTTCTCAAACAGTGAAAAAAACACTAAGATGCTTTTATATTGGAAGTATAAAAATGAGCATTTAATACTGCAGAATCACAAAATTTATGCAAGTTTGTTACAGTTACAGCTCATTAACATTTAAATTAAGCTTATTGGCGTATATTTCAATGTTTTTATTCTAAATAAAACATTGACCATTCTACTAAGCAAGAGTAGTTTCAAAATTATGCTTTTATTCTTTATTGGAAAAAAACATGCTTTTTGCCACTATATAAAAAAAAATGATTGTTCTGAGGTAGGAGGAGGTGAGAATAAGATTTATAGAATAATATTTATATTAAATAAAGATTAACCATAAGAATAAATGATTATACAAAATGTAGAAAGATAAGTTTTATAAGGTGTTAAAATATAATACTGTTCATGGTGTGTAGCATTTTTAAAAAATGCTTTAGGGTGCTTATTTTCGATGTTTGTTTTTAAAAGCCCTTAAAGGTGCTTTTTTCATTGGGTGTTTTTGAAAAGTGCTTAATTTTCCCTTTTCAAAAATGGTATTTTTTTCCTTAACCATGTCGAACCACGTGTTATGCAAAAGCGTGCTTTTCGCATTGTTCTGTGCAACATTCTCACAATTCATTCAATTGCAATCTATTTTGGTGTACTGTCAGTCCATAGCGTATGAAAGCGCCAATCAATTTACATGTTTGACATGGGTGCAAGTCTTCCGTCCCCAGGACGGATTTCCGTCTTTCGAAAATGTCCGCGGACGGAAGTAAGACGGAAACAAGACTGACTCGAAGACGGAAATCGGAATTTTTTTTTTTCTGTNTTATTCTAAATAAAACATTGACCATTCTACTAAGCAAGAGTAGTTTCAAAATTATGCTTTTATTCTTTATTGGAAAAAAACATGCTTTTTGCCACTATATAAAAAAAAATGATTGTTCTGAGGTAGGAGGAGGTGAGAATAAGATTTATAGAATAATATTTATATTAAATAAAGATTAACCATAAGAATAAATGATTATACAAAATGTAGAAAGACAAGTTTTATAAGGTGTTAAAATATAATACTGTTCATGGTGCGTAGCATTTTTAAAAAGGGCTTAAAGGTGCTTATTTTCGATTTTTGTTTTTAAGAGCCCTTAAAAGTGCTTTTTTCATTGAGTGTTTTTAAAAAGTGCTTAATTTTCCCTTTTCAAAAATGGTATTTTTTCTTGACCATTTTGATTTTCGCCACGTGTTATGCAAAAGCGTGCTTTTTGCATTGTTCTGTGCAAGATTTTCACAATTCATTCAACCACAATCTATTTTGGTGGACCATCGGTCCATAGCGTATGAAATCGCCAATCAATTTACATGTTTGATGAAATACTTAGGAGTCCAGTCCGCATGTGCGTCTACTTAGCTGGGTTCGATAAGATTATTGCGCTCTCATTTGCAACTCTGCTGCATTTTTTAAGATATTCTCAATTTCAGGCTTGATTTTTCACCCTCTGATATCGAACCAAAAAATCTCCTGAGCATTCTAAATGGCTAATATAATCAAGAAAACGAGTTCTTTGTCAGAAACTAGTTATTTTACCATGATCATCTAAAGTCATGGAAAATTATTTTGCAATTTTTTAATGTATATAGTGCTTAAAAAGTACTTAAAAGGTGCTTATTTTTTGGTGAAAAATTTGGCTATGCACCCTGTTGTTGCATGGATGGAAAAAAAAGAAGAAAAATATAGCTCATAGATCATTAATTTATACTCTTGTATGTTAAATTTATTTCATGCTGGATAATTAAACTCTTGCATTTCTTCAAATTATGACTCAAATAGTAGGCATTTTAATTTTAGTTATGATTGAATGAATTTTAATTTTGACTGAATATATAATTTTAATTATGATGAATAAAGAAAATAAAGTTTTTAATTATATCATCATCAAACAAAGAAGGCTTGTAATAGATCTAAGATGTCTTTATCCAAAAATTTCATTTATGACAATTTAGGTTTAAATTTTTAAGGGAGAGTAGTGGTTGGTTTACTCTCTCATTTTCTCTTTATGTGATGTTATTACATAAAGATTAATCTAAAATTTTCAGGGTGCGTAGTGTTTTTAGAAAGTGCTTTTAAAGGTGCTTATTTTCGTTTTTTAAAAGCCCTAAGCTCTTAAAAGTGCTTTTTTTCATGGAGTGTTTTTAAAAAGTGCTTAATTTTCCCTTTTTCAAATGAGATTTTTCCTTTACCATGTTGATTTTCGCTTCAAATTATGCATAAAGACACAGTTCACATTGTTTTATTCAACGTTTTCACAAATTATTCAACCCCAATCTATTTCAGCGTATTGTCAGTCTGTAGCGTATGAAAAAGCCATTCGTTTTTCATGATTCAAAACTTCATGATTTTTGACAATTGTCAAAAACAACGCCAAAAGTTTTTTTTTTTTTTGACATGACGGTTAAGGCAAGATAAAACCAATCAATTGTCAAAAACTTTCCACCTCTGCCTAATTATGATATTTTTTTAAAGTGCTTAAAAATATCTTTTAAGTGCTTAAAAGGTGCTTATTTTTTGTTGAATAATTTGGCTATGCACCCTGTTTTTTTTGTTGTTTTTTTTAGAATTTTTTTTGAATAAGTTAAGCCATAAGGAATAACAATATTCTGTCTTACTTGTATTTTAAACTTTTTTTTCTTCAGGCTATTGATGATGATGCTAATCAAACAGCACAAATGACAGCTGCTCAATTAGACTGGCCTCAGGTAATAAATTCTTTTTTAGATCTATTTTCAGTCAATTGTTTATCATTTTATAAATAAAAAGAAAACTTTTTAAATTTCAGTGTCTCCCATTTTAAACTTTTTGGCTGTTTATAAACTTTACTAGATGTAATCACGTTTTACTTTCTGTGAATTATGTTTCTGCTTCTGATTAATATTTAGGGCGGGGGGAATTAACTTAAATGTAATAATATATCAGGGTGGAAAGATAAGTAAATGTTTTAACTTATTTTATTCTTGTAACTGTAACTGAATTGTTACTTTGTGAAATTTTCTTTTCAGACTTTTTATTAATTCTTTTTTTCATCCTTAATTATCAGTTCCAAAGTTTATTTCCTTTAATTCGGTTTCCTCTAAGAAGTTGTCTTCTTAAAATGCCATAAACCGAGACTGTCTGGACCCTCTTTTTTTTCTAATTTTGTGAAAATAAAGAGTGAAAAATAAAATATTTTGTAATAGACTTTGCAGACTAAATGAATATATTATCATTTAAAAATGATAAAATTTTAATGGCAGCTAAAGTGGATCAAAATAATTTTACGGATTTCTTTCGTCAAGTCATTTTATTTCCCTGAAATTATACTGTTTTTTTTCATTGGGAAATTATACCATCTCTCATGGTTTGTATAATTTACTGATGGAAATAAATCCGAACTAGCTTTAGGTTCTTAATAAATAAATGTATTTTGGGCAATTTAATTTTATTAAAAGATTTCTTTTGCAAAAAAAAATTATATACTTTCATGAAATCATAAAAAAAAATTAAAAGAAAAAAAAACGTTTCAGCCATGAAAATAAAATTCTGATTTTTTAAGCACATTTATATGTCACATACAACTATTTGAGGAGCTATTTTTCTTTTTGTTCAGAGTAGTCTTAAAACCCTAGTACCCTATGATCTGTAAAAAAAAAAAAAATAAAATAAATAAATAAATAAATAAAAAATAAAATAAAAAAATTTAAACAAACAGAAAAAAAACATAAGATATAAAATTTTTAAAAAAATTTGCCTCAATCTATGAAAATTGTTAACCCAATAAAACTTTTTACAATTCTTTACTAGAATTGTTTTGAGCTCTAAAAATTTTTTTCCACCTCCTATCAATACTTTTATCCTACAGAAAATAAATTTACATTGTGAACATGTTTTTGAGAAAGAAAATTATAATAAATGGTCTTTATATTACAGGCAACTTTTGCTTCTGAAATTGTGAAAGCTGATAATACCCTTAAAGTTAAAAGAGAAGTTGATGGCGGATTAGAAAATATTACAGTTAAGTTACCAGCTGTAGTCAGTGCAGATTTACGCTTGAATGAGCCAAGATATGCTACACTACCTAATATTATGGTAATTTTGCTATATTTTAAATTCATCTTTATACTCATTCATTTATATTTTAACTCTTTATTTCCCAGAATAGATCTATGATGTGTGGAGATTGAAATCTAAGGATATTATCAAAATAGTTGAATACCCGTTTTTCCTAGAAGGTGGGGGGGGGAGTAGATAATCAATACATTTGTATTAATCAGCACTGCGATATCGTGCACAGAACTGAAATACCTATATCGACAAAATTAATAAAAATGAAACAGTTTTAGTTTTATAACTCTTCTAGTTCTATAACTAACAGTTCTAGTTCTATAACTATTTATTACCTTTACGGGTAACTTTATGTTATCATGTTAAGTTAAACCTGTTTTTACAAGTTTTGTCCCGTCAAAATAAAGATCAATTAGATTCAGCATCATTTGGCATAAAGCTATTATTCTCCGTCAACTCCTGATACTAAAAAATTACCATAATTAGCAATTTTCTTTGGTATTTATCCCATTTGGTGGGCGTAAAAACCTATTTTCTCAGTACCTATATTAGGTAATTTAGTACCATTATTAGTATATATATATTTAGGTACCTATTAAAAGCACCAATTAACATAACATCATTATTACCTATTACTAAAGTTCATTAAGCATCATTGGCAATAAGGTGATTTTTTTATAGTTTTCCTACAGTATCTTTTCTCCCTTAATTTATCTTTATAGTACAAAACTCATTTTTTTATTTCAATTTGTACCTATTACTAACATTGATTAATTTTTATTATCAAATGATAAGTAATGACACAAATATTGTATAATTTTGTGAACAAACTAATATCAGTGCTCAATACTAAGGCTATAAAAAATTGTGAAACTGTTATTGACGTCAGTTATGCTTAATTAAATGTGGCATTGCAGCTTAAAGTGTTGTGCTTGTGATAACTTTTTATACCAATGTAGGTTTTGTGATAATTTGTTTACCACCTTTCAAAATGGATATGATAAGTGCCCTAGCTTATCGTACTTCAAATTTACAGTCCCTAATACACATCCTTTATTTTCTTTATACTTGTTGTATGTTCCAGTGCAGCTTCATACTATTAGATTTACAATAATATGAGTTAGGAGTTCAGCTTACTAAAAGAAATATTAACTATTCATATAGTAAAATTTAAAATGTGATATTCAGAATTTATCACAATTTTCCTTATGGCTTAATTGATAAGTTCAAATTTATTTTATTAGTTGTTGAGTTTTCACCAATTAAGTTTATAGAAACATGCTTTAAAAATAATGCAATGTAAGAAAAATGAAGTGATTTCTAATTAACTTATTAGTTTTTTTTTTAAATTTAGGCTATTATTTATATAAATATAATTTGTAAGTTTTAATGATGTTTTATCACACTTGTTTTTGTATTTCAGAAAGCAAAAAAGAAACCTATTACTGTTATGAAGCCAGGAGACTTAGGTGTTGATATTTCACCTAGAATTGAAATCATCAGTGTTGAAGATCCACCAACTAGAGAAGCGGGTACTAAAGTCCAATCAGTTGATGAACTACTTCAAAAATTGAAGGACCTTGGAAGATTATGAGTATTTAATATAAAAACTAAATTTGTCAAGCAAATATTTTTTACTGTAACATGTATTGAGTAAGTTCTAGCATGCTCATCAAATATCAATGTTATCCTTTAAGAAGAGAGGTTTAAAAGAAGAAGAAACTATATTTATTGATTAAAAAAAACATACAGATATTGTTTAACAATCTGTTATCCTATGAAATTGTATGTATTTTCAATTTTTCTGTAATTTTTGTAATAAACTGTTTATTAAAAAGGTTTTCTTTGAATTCAAATAAAATGGTTAAACTATAAATATTTTCAAGGGTATGTAGAAATATTTCAAAGTTGTTGGTGATGTTCTATATCTTTTCATTTGTGCAGACATTCTACCTTCGATCAGAAGCTCACTTTTAAAATTACTTTACAATTGTCTCTTTTATTTTTGTTAGGAGGCTCAGTTTCCTTGAGGGACTTCCTCATCTAACCCTGTTGTTGCTTCCTACTCAACGGTGTTTTTCTTTCTTTTTCTTAAGTCTCTAAAACTAGATCTTTGAGTCAATAATTAGATTGTAATGAGAAGTTGCTTACAAAGTATTATTATAACTTCATGTGAGAGCCTTTCATTAATATGTTAATAGCCAGATGTCTAATAACAGTTCAAATTGAAAGCAATTTTTGTTTTTAGTCTTATGTTTTTAAAAATTTTGATAAAAATATTAAGGTTTATATTTGACATCTCAGCACTGAAACTCTTGTTTTTTAATGTATATTTAGTTATTTTATAATTTCCATTGACGTCAAATTAAATGCAAGCTAAAAAAGGAAAATCTAGAAAGAGCGAAATTTTTCTGTTAATGGCTAAATAGTCATTATTTAATTGAAAAAACTTTCAAACAAATTGGAATTTTGAAGAAAACTAAAGGGAAGTTCATAAATGAAAATGGTCCATTGAGCATATCAAACTTGAACTTGGTTGTTGCATTTATTGCTTAGTCATGTGTGTTGCGTTTTTTACAGCAATTTTAATTCTCAATTAAATAATTGTAGCTTCAATTTTTTTATTACATCGTACTTGTGCCTTTTTCTACACAACTTTCTACTAATTCCTATAGTTTTTGTTCAGCATTACAAAGTGTAACATGAGACAAAAAAAAACGCGTTTAAAATTGATCTGACTTTTGAACAAATAAGAATTTCGATTAAAACTCATGTTAAGTTTATAAACAAGAATCTTTTTTTCTGCAAGTCAAATTTCAATTCTGTAGTTGCATTTTGGTAGCCCCCACACGGTTTTTTGATTATTATTAGTTTAACATTTAATTATTCTTAAAATAATTAGCGATGTTACAGTTTTTTTGTTTCATTTTACTCCACGTAAATTTTTTTTACAAATCTTCATAATTTTAAGTTCTTAAGTCATTCTTTATTGGTTTTAATTCAGAAGCATAAATAGTTTACGTTAGCATCCATAAATACTGAAATAACTACATTTAAAAAGTTTATTAACACAGTTTAGTTTTTATGCAGTGACAGGTTAAATAGGTTCATGTAGAAGGTAGTGTAAAAAAAAAAAACTATTTCTTTTGTTGAACTAGAATGCATTTGGTATTCACCAAAAAAATTGGTTAGGTAAAATAGTTTATTGTGGGAGAAAACAGTACACTTAAGTTTTATTTGTAAAAATACCGTTTAATCTTGTTAAGAGATGGGTTCATGTAATAAATATCGCTCATGGGGTGCAATAGTGGCACAACTAAAAAAAACATGCGTTTTAGATTTAGAACAGGTGTAAATATCAAAATACACTTTCTTTCAGCAGCAATGCTAGCACAACTCATAATTTAACTCATAATTTAACAACTCTTAATTTAATAATCTTCGTTTAAGCAAACTAAAGTAATTCTTATGCATTTTGCTTAGCAATGAAAACTTTAAACCCACTTATCTCAAAACTTGATTTTTTGAGTTGTGCCGCTATTGCAGCAATGAGCGATATGTCTATACCTTACCGCAATAGACTTTCCATAATGTTCAAAGCCAGTTGTGTTATCCCATTATCGACAAATGATTTTCAAAGTTTTATGCAATAAAAACATGGTATTCTGATTCAGAATGTTTAGGACTACCTTAGAAGTCTAAGTGCTGTTGCTATTGTTAGATCATGAGCTGAAACAATAGTTACTCTGCCTGGTTTACGATTCCTAGTTCCACCTGGATCACATACCAATATATTGACTGACTGGCAGTCAAAATATTGTTATATGATGTTTCTACTACTATTTCCTTTATGAAACTGCCATGTACCGTTTACTTTCAAAAAGGGCTCTTCCGTAAAAAAAAAATTTTTTTTGGTTTCTTTTGTACATTTTTTTTTCTAAGTTTGTACATTTGTTGTACATTTTTTTTTCTATTCTTTATGGAATATGACTTCTAAGTCATATTCCATAAAGAATTATTAACTAAATTTCTCGTTTTTGTGTTCAGTCCTATTCTGACAATTAGGCACAAAAATCAGGTTGTATGTTGTTAATGTTATGGAAGTCTGTGTTACCTGTACCACCGAGTGTTTCGAAGATGATTGAAGATTTGAATAATCGTCTGGGGTAAATAAAGGGGGACGGGAAGGAAATGTACTGTTTTCTGTATTCTTACTAAACCGTAAGATATGTTACAAAGTTGGTCAACAGATAATGCTGCTAACTGAGAGGGGGGGGGAGAAACTATTCTAATCAAAATAAATCCTCGATTGTATGTTAATTTTGTCATTATATTGCACCATTTTGTTACTGCAAAACTTGGTTATTTTTAAAACATTGAGTCAGCACCATCTATTGATAAATTTTGAAGCTCATTTAAAACTTAAAAAACTCCAAGAATCCTGATTTTTTAAGCTGAACGCTGTCACGTATCCAAACCCCAATGATGAATGACCCATGGACAGGAATTTCTGATTTTTCCAAACTTCCATGGAAATCATAATACTTCGAACAAGAAGCGCTATCCGGAACAATTGTTTTTGTAATTCCTCATACAAGCTTAATACCTCGTCGGTCAGTTTTTTATTGACATAAATCGAATTACGTGTTTCAGAAAATGGACTTACAAAAATCATACTTGGCAAAATGGACATAGCTCAATATGCGTATTTAACTAAAGACGCCCTACGATCGGATTCGGAGTGAAAAGGAATATGCATGTTATATGTATTAAATAAAACGTGAATAACTCAAAATGAGAGTTTAAGCAAATAGACAACACGCTTTTTCAATGTTGAACCAAAGTTTTAACTATACCGGGAATATTTATTTCATTTTCAAAAATGGCGTTGAACAGCCGACTAAATTCTGAGTTTACAACTATAAATGCTCCCTTTGTGACCTTGAAATTCTGAACACAGCCCAGAAGACAAGGGGACTCCTAGATCAAGCATTGGGACAAACTATCCGTCGTGGAGGGTTTTTTGATGGAAATAATCCGTATTTGCGTTGCGTGGAGAGGACAATCACGAAATCCCATGGTTAGCCCGATGACAAAGGGATTCTACTTATGATTCGTCTACACCACTGAGGATGTTTTACTCCAGCACTGTGTGGTCAGCACTGCAGTGCGAGCCAGGAGCAGAATTCAAATCAACCAGCCACGGCTTGGATTCGAACCTGCTTCACCACATTGGAAGGCAAGCATTTTATCTCCTAAAGCCAACGCGGCTCAAATCGGGAATATTTTTATAATCGTCGTTGAACAGTCGACCCAATTTTGAGTTTACGAATACCAATGTTCATGCAACTCTGTAGCCTAATGATTTTGAACCCAATCCGGAAAACAAGGGAACGCCTGGGTCAAGTATTGGGAGAAATTTGCCTTCATGGAGAACTCTTTGATGGAACAAACCCGCATTTGCCTTACACGGAGATAAGAACACGAAAACCTCCCACGGTTAGCCTGATAGGAAGAGGACTTCATGATCCGTTTACCACTGAGGATATTTCGCGTCAGCACTCTGTGAGCTGGTTGCATAATTAGCACGGATTCGAAAACAGTTCACCTCGCTGGGATTCGAACCTGTTTTACCTCAATGGGAGCCTCCACGTCTCAAATAGGAATATTTCATTTTAAAACCGTCGTTGGACAGCCGACCCAAAGTTTCAGGTTTACGACTACTAATGTTCAACTCCGCAGCCTTGTACTTTTGAATCCAATCCAGGAGACAAGGGAACTCCTGGATTAAGAATTAGAAGAAATTTGCCTTTCGCGGAGGACTTTTTGATGAACCTAACCTGGACATGCGCTACATGGAAAGCAAAACCTCCCACGGTAAGTTAGACTGCGAAGAGATTCTAACCCATGATCCGTCTACCACTAAGGATATTTTACGTCAGCACTGTGGTAGGTGCAAGCCGGATGCGTAATTCGTATCCACCAGCCATCATTGGAAGGCGAATGCTCTATTCCTTGAACCATCACGGCTCAACCGGGAATATTCCTAATATTCATGACGGAGCAAAGTCCCTGATGTAGTGTGTCCATAATGTAATTTTTCAAGAGTTTCATATTCAGATCTCTAAACGCTAAGAGGAAGTTGTTCCTAAAACGTAAAGTCTAAATACTACTATTATAAATTAAGAGAACCAATAACAACCATGTTGTCATGGGTCCTCGATGTTGTTTTGAAAGAAAATGTATGGAATTTATGATAAAAAGAAAAAAACTAAGATTTATTTGAATTTGAGATAGTTTTAGATGCTAAAAAACATTGCATAGTTACCATATATAAGTTTTAACATTTTATAATCAAAATTTGATGTTCTTGAATTAATCCTTATGGATTGATTGCAGCCAGTCCTTGATAATCGAAATTAACCTCATCCATACTCATAAACTTATAAGTTTATGAGCTTACGAACGAATCACACCTCCCGTAACGGACAGTGATAGTAAATGCATAAAATTGGAACTGGGTGACCAAGGGTGTACACTCTGTACATTTATAATATGTATCAGATATTTTGTGAGTGCATATATTTTACTCTTTATAACCTGTCTCTGTATTTCTTATGTTTGTAAATAAAGTGCTTACCTGGTATTTTCTCGAAATAAGTGAAACTTTAATGCACAACTATAATTCTTTAAAATTTTTGTAGACTTATTAAGGTTTAGACATGCTTCAATAGCGTTTGTTCAAAAATAATTTCAAGTTTGTAAACAGATGGGACAGCAGACGAAGAAAATCTGAAAAAAGAATGTTTTCTGATGCGTGTCAGACCATTCTCCAATTCAGCTTAACACTAGAAAGACTGATCATAGCTTCGTACCTAGAAAGACTGAAGAGGCCTGTTTTGCCAGTAATTAGATCAATTAGACATCCAAATTCTTAAAATATAATCATAATTAATTTAATAAAAATATATTACAGACTTGATCATCGATATTATAAGGTATTTTATTCAATTTGGTTAGCGAAAATATTTGACTAAATGGAACACTATTATTTCAGTTGCACTTCAGTCTTAGATGATCGAGTTTTCTTTTCTCTAGAAATAAAATATAGATATGTTGAAATACTGTTGTTTAATTAATGAAACTGGGGCCCGAGAGGCCACTTTGGTCCTTCCTTTATTCAAATATAAGGTTCTATATATACCTTTTTATAAGGCTAGCACATGAATGATTCAATAAGCACTTAAATTGGATCAAATTATGATAAGTCAGAAATACTATTTCGTAGGTAAGCCAAATTGGCCCCATAAATTTTTCTGGCATTAAGTGTTAGCTTAGTCCCCAGACTGCTCTATGTTGCTTTTAGAAATGATTATTTTATAAAAAGACTTATACCTTTGACAAGTTAGGCAGCACAATCTGTTGACACACTTTATCCAATTTTGCAATTTGGTGAAAATAATTTCTCTGGTCGCCGAAATGCTTTTTTTTATAACGTTTTTAAAAATGTTAACTAATTTTGTAGGGGTAATTGTGACACCAAGTGTAAAACCCAGAAAATTTCTTGGGCAAAAAGTCAATTTCAAGATATATTATGAAACATTATGGTATTTATATTACCATACTTGCTTCATATTTAACATAATTTTTGAACTATTTATAATTTAATTACTAATGAAGAATATAACACCTTTATAGTAACTAATTAAAAAAAAACTTACTTCTTACAGGAACCTGCGATACTGGATTTTAAAATTGCGTAAATACAAATCACGATACTGGATTTTAAAATTGCGTAAATACAAATCGCGATATGATATTGGATTTTTAAATTAAATGAAAAGGAAGAGCTATGTACGATTTTTAAATCGCATGAATACGAATCACAACACGTAACTATAGTAAATCAGGTAAATACGAAAATCGATGTTTGATATTTAAATCGCGATATTAGCAGATCCAAATATTCAAAATGGCAGAAGAATCACGTGTATGTAAACGTTTAGTTAACGGGATTTAGCATAAATTTCAAAATTTCGTCGATTTATACGTCCAAAGGTCTTGAGATACACAGAATTCTGCGATATTCGTGGAAACATCACATGCCCTGCTTTTAGTTTTATCGAGAAGAATGAATATATATATGAAAAACCTGAAATTCCAGGATACAGCCTGACTAAGGTTGCCAGTTTGTTAATAAAAACTCTTAGAAGGATAGAAAATGCTGAAAAATATACAGGAGAATAATAGAAATAAAAAAAAGTCATCCGGTAAATGTTTATTTAAGCTGACAGTAGCTTATCTTTGAGTTAACCAATACAGCCTTGCACCCTCCCATAGGAAATAAACTATAAGTGTTCTCCCTTTCAATAAGATCGTAAATTAGGGACTATCAGTCACCAAACCTCAAAGAGAAGTAGGCACTAACACCTATTTTAAGGAGTTGGCTGAAATGTCAGTCGCAAACGCTGTGTCCAAAAAGGGTTAGGCATTAAAATTTTTAGTCTAGTCTATGGGTAGAAAGACCTCCAGTTATTGATCTTTTGCAATAAATTATGTTACAGGAATTACTTTTTTATAACGTTGTATTTGATAGTGTAAAAGCTTAAGGGTGTGATCCAAGAAAAATTTATTTCCGAAGAGAATAGGGTATACATGTTACCGGCAAAGTATGAAACGCCGGCATTGTATAGAATGCTGGATGTTTTTAGGCGAAGTATGAAATGTGAGAAGTATTACTTACTTCCCCAAGGCATTGTATAAAATGCCTAGGCATTCTATAGAATGCCAAATGCTATTTAGGCAAAATATGAAATAGAAGTCCTGATGAGGTTATTATGTAAATGATGATCATGTTACTGTGAATGACCAAAATCGGTGGTTGTTGACAATCACATAGTCACTTTGGTGAATGTCCGAAATATTTGTAACATCCGATTTGATATTAATTTATTCGTGGATATAATTACATAGATTCGAAGAAACATCAGTGTTTGGAGTATCGAGCAAATGTATACCGGGCAATGGCACTTGATCTTAAAAAAACATCAGTGTAGGGCATACCGGGAAATGGCACTTGATCTTAAAAAAACATCTGTGTAGGGCATACCGGGAAATGGCACTTGACCTTAAAAAAATATCAGTGTAGGGTATACCGGGCAGTGGCACTTGACCTTAAAAAAAAACATCAGTGTAGGATATGCTGGGCCATGGCACTTAACTAGCCCTAGTATGACTAGACCTTTGGTAAATGTCCAAAATATATACTAGGTCTAGTGCCACTGCCCGGTATACCTTACACTGATGTTTTTTTAAAGGTTCAGTGCCACTGCCCGGTACATCCTACACTGATATTTTTTATGGTCAAGTGCCATTGCCCGGTTCATATTTGCCCGATACTCCAAACACTGATGTTTCTTCTAATCTATCGTCAGTAAGTATTAAAATATTGAGTAAATGTAATTATATCCACGAATAAATTAATATCAAACCAGATGACGTTTTGAATTTGTTATTTTTGAATGACATTTCGATGAATTGGAGATGTATTTTATACTTTGCCGGTTTCTCATTTGGCATTCTGTAGAATGCTTAGGCAATGTGTGAAAAATAAATCATTTCATACTTTGCCGGCTAATTTTAGGCATTCTATACATATACAATGCCAGATTTCATACTTAGCTGGTAACATATACAATGCCATGCAAACTAAAGTCAAAAACGTGAATGAGGCAGAAACCAAAGGACAGAAATGAACATACTATAGATTCAGTTCTATAAACAAGAACCTTCTCATATCTAAACACCAAATTTTGGTGTTTAGCGTGCACCTTATTCACTTTGTTTTTTTTTTAAACTTTAGTCAAGAGAAATTTTCCCAAGGATGCAGATTCAAAGGAGTGGCACTTAAAAGTAGATACGAAAATAAATTGCAAATATTAATACATTTTAAGAGATATTTCTGTTCTAACTTTAACACAGCTCTGATCTGTTTCTGCTCTGAAAGCTACTAGAAATACTCAAACTTAAATCATAAGTACCAATAATTTTATTTGTATACATTCTTTTTAAAATTACAAAATTGTTGAGAAACACACATAAAGACATAAATAATAATACAAGTGAGGAAAAAGAATCAATATTTTCCAAAATCAATGGGATAATAATGAAAAAATTGCAAATATACATATATCTGCGACATCATCCACAAATCACAAAGCTTTAGGATGAAAAATGTGAATACTGTACAATCACATGAGCATTTTTTATTGTGGCAAGTAAATGACTAAATAAAAATGCTTCATTAAAGTACTCAACGGTGAAAGGTGCTCAGCACCTTATATTTTATTAGTACCTTTGCAACAATAAATACACCACATAAATGAAATAAATATGTTAAAAACTAGTTAAAAAGGATAAGTGCATTTAAGGATATCCTTTAATTAAAAAAGATTATCATAGGTAGTTAAAATTTCAATTACATTTTGCAATTCCTAACAATTACTTTTATCTAGTTTCTTTTAATAATATATCATTCCATGTTATGTTTAGTTACTAACATGTGCAAATTGCTAAGTCTTACAATTCAAATACCAATCTATTCTGAATAAAATAACTACTACAATTGAAAAATATTAGGCATGAGTTAAATACATTTTGCAACTTCTTCCATTTGTTTCTTTTAAATACAGCATATCTGCTAAAGTAAAATTCAATTCAAGTATCTCTGTATCCCGAGCGAAAAAATAAAAAAAAACTTAAATTTTGTCACTATTTTGTTTTGTTTCTTTTAAATCCCACAATTCTGATAACGAAGAAAACTCGTTATTAATTAAGCTATTCTGGATAAAATTATATCTATCAAAAAGTATTAGAAAAAAAGCAGATTATCATATGGATTCTTATTAATTATTAGAAAAAGTAGCAATACAATTAATAAAAAATATACCTCAAGCCTTGTATCTATTATTAACATAGAATAGCAAAATGTTGAATTTTGATTACTACCTAAAATAATGACAATGCAACATTAAATAAAAGGTGAGATACTTACACAGTTGCAATATAATAAATGAGTTTTATTTACTAAGTTCACAAAGGTACTAAATTGTTTCACAACAGATTTCTAACAACTCAGAGATCCGTTGGAAGAGGATAAGTAGAATCGTTATCCCCGTTGAATTCATCCAAAGCTATGTGATTTGTGGCGTATTCCTAGCAACCAACTAAGGGCTTGGTGTTAAAAATAATAGAAGAACGTTCATTGAAAAAGTAAACTGTGCCTATAGATATGAAGAATATGATAAAACCACTGAAAAGCGTGACTAGTTCTTGGGCTTTTCCAGGCTGGAGGAATATCCGAGCAGACGTTTCTAACCAGACACTTTCTGTCCAGGTTGAATATTCTGTAGATTTCCATTCTATACATATAAAAAAGGGAAATAATTGGATGTTAGAATTGTTGAGTATGTATTTCTAGACTAAATTAAAATTGTAAGATAAAACAAGTGAAGAAATGAAATATTATTAGAAATAGAACATTTAAGAGATTTGTTATGCAGAATTGCACTGACTGAGACAGTGAAAATAAACTTTTTCAAAAATTAACTCTATGTATAAACTTGTACCATTTTTATTTATCAAAAAGTTATCAAAAACAAGTTATCACAAACAGTTTTTCAAAGCAAATAAATGTACTTCGATTGAAAAACTAGAATTATATTTTTAACTCAGTAGCACATTTCTTAAAAGCAAGAAATAACAACCGCAGTAGCAATTTTTTTTTTGAAACACCATTCTACTAAAAACAACAAGGAGTGGATTTATAATTCAAGAGCAGCCTTAAAATAGTGCGTCAGATAAGGTAAAAAGAGTTAAAAGTGATAAAGACAGATGACTAATTGAAATCTAACTTTATTGAACAAAACATGAAGAATTAAGATGTTTACAGATGACATTTATATAAATTATGACGCAAACATTATTGCAAAAAAACAATATGTGCTGAAGCATTGATGATGGTAAGGAACAGGTGTAAAAAAAGAGCAAAAATCACAAGAAAACTGCAGTTCTGATAGATTGAGATTTGTCTCATCAAAGGTTTACTAACTGCTAGATTTCTGTAAGCTATTGGAGACAGTCAAGGACAGTTGTTCCCAACCTTTTTTGACTTATTTCATCCTTTTCATTATTGTTATAAGCTAATTTCCCCCCTCAAAAATTTAATACATTACTATTTAACGAACTGCAATTTAACTAATTATAATTTTACTAAGACATTTCTTAACACATTTTATAAATTAAAGATAAAAAATTTTGATACATCAGGGCTTTCTTACTTTTTTATATTAACAAAGTAATTATTTAAACAAAATATATACATAAAACCATTCAATAATTTTAAAAAAATAAATAAAAAAGAATTAGTATAGCAAACAATATTGTAATTAGTCACTTTTTGTTTATTAGGATGTTTGTAGCTGTTTTTTATTTTTTTACTAATTCCTGGATACATAAAGTAGAGTTTACAAAGGCAAAACACAGGTACTTTCAACTTCCAGTCTCCCCCCCCCCCTACATAATTGAGAAGTCTGATTAGCAAAAGTAAGTTGGGACGAATAGAAACAAAACCCAGATTGTTCATTCTGCTACTTAATTATAAGACTTGTACATTAAAGACCCTAATTCTGAAACTGTTTTCTCCTTAAATATGTTTAAAAAATTAATCTCGCAAAATATCAAGAACTTTTTAAATGGATATGCTAAATAAATCTCCCTCTAAATTTAACTTCTCATCAGTGAGTACAGAAAAGCATATCCCTATTTTATTTTCAAAAGGTATGAAAAGGTCTGTAGCAGAAATCGACAAGTGTAATAAGACTGGACTGACCTCATTCTCCTTTGAAACACAGAAATTCTTCTGTAAGGGTCTTTTGATCTTGGATATACCCTTAGAGATGATCTGAACATAATATTGGTATATAGTAGTAATCACCCTACCGCTGCACCATGCTTCAAAACAGTACATGTACTTTTTATGGCTTAGAACTTGATGGGGAATATTACTAGAGTAGCTTTTGATAGTACAATCAGATAAGATAACCAGTCAAAGCTGGATTAAAAGGGGGCAACTTGGGCTGTAATCCCAGACTTCCTAAATTTTTTAGGCCACCCTCAAAGGGACCTCTAAACTTACTAAAAAGAAAATTGATTTATGTAATTTTCTAAAAATATATCTGATATTTTCAAGAGTTATGTTTTACACTCTTTTAGAATAATTTAAAATGTAATTTGAGTGTAAAATTCACAAATATTAAAAAAAAAAGAAGACATTTAATTAAACATTATATGATTAAAAATGATATCCTTCAATATTGCTTACCCATCTCTCAAATTTTGTCTGTTATATTTTGCTTTAAGTCACAAACGCTTGATTTTTCAAATTAATTTTTTTGTAACCATCTATAAAACATTTAAAATTTCCTAATGGTGTTGGCAAGAAATTAACAAGTTTTTTAAAATTAAAAAAATTTAATTTGCTTCTTGCGATTTTTTAAATGTATATTATTTAGTTGTTACTACATAACTTTTATAATTTCATGCATGGTGTTTTCGCTGACACTAAATTGAATTTGAATGTTTAATAAAGTTAATTATTCTGCAAAAAAATCAAAAATTTATAAGCTTTTTTTAAATTTTTATAAAACAAGCATAAATTGAATTCAATTTCATTAATAGTTTTTAATATTTCTGAATATATGTAAATTTTGGCTAATTTGGTATATGTAGAACAACAATTTACATACCAGCCCTAGGTCCTACCATACCTTAATCCAATATTAAAACCAGCATTTACCACAGACAATTAAAGGACAGTTCAAGTCATGGAAAACAAAAATACTCAGCACCAAATAGACAGCTATTTAACAAAAGAAATCTTTCAGAAATGAGAAGAAAAATATCTATAATATAGTTACCATTTAAAACAAAAGCAGGAGACTGAGCAATAGTGTACATCACAGTTGACTTCTTACAGATACCACTCCCATTTCCAGCCATCCAATCATAGTGATATATCTATGGGAAAAACTCAATTATTTTTTGAAATAATGATAGAGATTGTACAAAGAGATTGCACTGAAATTTTAAGATAACTCTTTTAAGAAGTTACACAGCAATTTTGGAGCACACAAATTAAATTTAGTGCTGATAAGTTCAAAATACCAATCAATCATAAATTTCTTCTTGTATCTAATTAATAAAAATATTCCTTTTAACTCATTTAGATTTTTATGATCATTTGCATTCAAGCAACTGCGAAAAAAAAATTAAATAAAATTTGTGATTTTTAGCTTGCATTTAAAAACTTAATTTTTAAATGCAAGCTAAAAATCACAAATTAGTATGCAAACTAGAATAAGAAATAGCTACATAATTAAGTTTTTCTTTTTTTAAAAAACCAAATGAAAAAAAATTCTTTTATTAAAATTTTAATTAAAGACACCATCTTAAAGGTAAAGGATAAAACCATCTAAAAGGTTTAAAAATTTCAGAAAATCCATAATTTTTTTTTTAAATATCTAATACTGCAACATGTCAAGCATATTTTCTCACATTATTAAGTTAATCAGAAAAGGAGGAGAGTTTATCTTGGAGAGAGAGCTTTGCAAACTCTTCCCATAAACTCAATCATTTGGAGCAAAAATATAAAAAGTTTTCACAAAAACTACTGCAAAGAATGTTAGGTATGGAAAGAAAGATTTTCTTCCTTTTGTTGTTGTTTTGTTTTAGCACAACCTATTTACAAGGTAATATATTGTCCAAATTTTACAGAAAACAAATTTTTTTTTGGTGCGTATATTTCTGAGTTGCATTTAAATTTTTGTAGTTTTTATATTATTTTGTGTCAGATCAGTTAAAAATTAAAATTTTTAAACAATCTTTTTTTCAATATTTAGTCAGTTCCATAAAGCATAAGTGTTCAAAATTTTAATAGAATCAATACTTCAGTTTTCGAGAAATCGCGTCCATGCTTAAGAATATTTCTTTCTAAGAAATTTCTAAAAATCAATCATTTCCTGTTACATTTTCAAAATCTTAAGATTAAAATTAAATAAATTATTCGTCATACGTTGTTCTTCCATATTCTTATAGCTTGAATTACTTTATTAAAATTTTTGTTACTACAAAACCAATGTGTCTCCTTGGAAATATTAAATACAAGAAAAATTTATAAAAACAATATTAAATAGTATAATCTATTCAAATTAAACATTAAGCTTTCTCACATAGTTAGCTTTTATTAATATAACATACACACAACTTAGAGAGTTTTGAATCCATAAATTTGCTCAAAACAATATGTATAAACACAGATTTCTTTTTTTAAAGAAGTCAGATGTAAAATGACAAACCTGATCTTGAGGAGAACTTGTGCATGTTTTTCTGTCCTTATCTAACTCATCACTGCCTGTCAGATAAGCTAGCAAGTATCTTGTATATAAAGTGATGGCATTAGCTTTTGTGTGTCCACCACTATCGACACTTACATACAAGGGATATGGTTCAACCCCTGTAATTAAAAGAAACAATAAATACTCAATAAAATCAAAAATATAGAAATGAAACTTTAACGAAGGAAAATTGAAATTTTTAAAGTAAGAAATTTAATAGTTTACCAGATTAATGAAATGGTCAGGAAAAGGCAGTAATAAAATTAAAATTTATAAAGTAATAGGGAATTTTTTTAAAAAATATGCCTGAGTGTGAAAAAATTGACTTACGCAATCTTTCAGTCATTAATGGATCAGCAATTTGTTGAAATAAAGAGCATGAAGCATTTTGTATATAACATTCTAACAAACCAGATACCTAAAATTAAAGAAAGTTATAAAAATTTTCATAGAACATATATAAGGAAAAAATAAAATGATTCTCAAGCATGCAGTAGATTAAACTAGCAAGAATGCTTCATTCCAATTAAATAGCCATAAGCTAATTATTTCATTAAAACTTTAAACAATTAAATTATTCATTTATTTAAAATATATATACAGTAATTAAATTTTTGCTTTCAAATTCGCAAAGTGGACAAAAATTGTTATAAAATGTACAAGAAAAGAAAAACACTCCCTTTATACAAGATAAAATAATTATGAATTTTAGTTGTATTTACTATTAGCATCAAATGTTTCAGAGCAATAATTTTATATGAAAAAAAATGCTCATTAATAAATTTAAATAAGAAGAAAAAAAGAACAGTTATAGATCCACAAATATCAATTGCTGAAACTCATCTCAATTCTGAATTTAGGAAATTAATTGCTATTGCTCTAATGATGCCAATAATAGTTGCTTGAGAAAGATGCTTTTCAACTCAAAATAGAATAATATCCAAAGAAAAACAAGCTTTGCTTGGAGCATTTAGATGGCCTTTGCAGCTATTTTTGTGAAGTATCCCTTCTATTGCTATCAATATAGGTATGTGTTAACTATAATATGAATTTTGAACATATTGTTAAATAATGGGAACAAATTAAACTCTATATACGAGCAACCTCAGTTTAACCCTGAAGTAATGAAATAAAATGGGAAATAATACAGAGTTCTGTTTATCAAATTTAATATTTAAACAATAATTCTAGAGTATTTACTTTGTATAATTCATTTGTACATCATGGCATAATTTTGCTATAAATTGGGCTGTAATTTATTAATTTAATGTCTATTTTAAAATTCAAGTTTCAAAAAGTAATATAGTGGTGAAATTACTTTCTAAAAAATACATGCATTTTTTTGTTGTTGATAACTCTGATCCAGACCAGGTACTTAAATTGTAGAGCTGAGATAACATGGTCTGCCATAAAAAATGTAATTCAAGCTATTTAAGCATGTGACATTTTTAAGATCTGATTGTGGCATATAGAGCATGAGAATATAGACATATAGAGCATGCATATAGAGAAAACTTCCAATTCTTTCTCTTATTCTCTCAATACTTGAAAAAATTACTCAAACTTAAAAAAAAAAAAAAAAAAAACATTACCAGATCTTCAGATGTCTCCACAGGTTTGTCCAATTGTTTTCCAGTAAGAAGTTGATACAATGTTCCAGATATAATCGAAGCAGTATTACTCAAAACTGGTACTAGTTCTTCNAATGGAATAATCACACTGTGGCATTTAGAGCATGCACAATTTTTAATTTTTTATTTCAGAGCAAGCTTATAAGCTAGAAAACTTCCAATTCTTTCTCTTATTCTCTCAATACTTAAAAAAATTACATAAACTTTAAAAAAAAAAAAAAAAAACATTACCAGATCTTCAGATGTCTCCACAGGTTTGTCCAATTGTTTTCCAGTAAGAAGTTGATACAATGTTCCAGATATAATTGAAGCAGTATTACTCAAAACTGGTACTAGTTCTTCACGGTTCAGGGTTTCATTAGAGTCAAGTATGCTGTTGTAATATCTAAAAATTTTAAACAAAAGTATAAATATCAATCACCTAATGATGTACTTTAAATTTGGTTTGCAATGCTATGGAGCCAAAGAAAAACAATTGGTACATTTGACAATAAATCAGAACGTTTTCTGTACAATATGCATATTCCAGACTACTTTATAAAGGATAAACTTCAAACTAAAAAGTGTAATTTGCTATAAAAGTATGATACCGCTCTACTTAAGAATAATGAAGGCAAATTGTGCCTCAAAAGCTGGGGTAGAAATTAAGTCAATTTAGTCACTCGTTAAAAAAACTAACAACTTAATGATAGTACTTGCTTGTACATTTTCATTGTCCCTTTGCAAGATTTTATAGTATATTTTTAAAAGTTAATAAAATGAACTCAAATAAAAAATTACAATACAGAGGATAATGTCACACATATGATGAAATTATAAATTTCGTGACAAAAACAGACCAAAACATGAAAAAACCATATAATCTTTTGCCTTTACATTGACTGCTGGTTTGGAAAACCTATGATAATTATTTTATGATGGTCAAATTTTAGTGGTTGTGGACCATTAGACCACTACTAATTTCTTAAAAGCATAGTAAAAAAAAATAAAAAAAAAAAATACTATTTTTAATTTCAGAGTTATTTTGTTCAAAACTTAAAAGTTTTAACAGTTTTCATTTTATTTTTATTAATAGAGCACTGAACGATTCTTAATAATTTGAGATCAATAAATATCAAATTTTAATAGTACTGTTGCATTAAATAAAAACAATAACCAGTATCAATTAGTAAAGATTCATGACTTCCGTAATCAATTAATTTTAAAGTAGAGTTTAAATATTACTGAAAAAAGAAATTACAGCAAATATGCAGCGAAACTTTTTTGTTCTAAAGTAATTTGGTGAAAGATCCTTTAATTTCTCATTCAAAAATTCCACGAATAAAGCACTGGTAACTGAGATCAGTGATTCTTAGACTCGGATGAAAGAGATGAATTAATAATTGCATTAGATAAAAACAAATATGCACATGACATCTAAATACATCACCATAAAAATTTGATAATTTAAAATTTTTAATTAAGTTTCTTTTTCAGAAAGCAACTGAATCTCAAAGAGTTTTAAAGAACGGAACCTGTGGGTAAGGCTATGTGTCTGAACTGAACCATATGTATAACTAGTAAATGGTTCCTAAGATCGAATTATAAAATTTTGCAACTTTGATGAAGTTCTAAAATTATTAATCAAAATAAAAAAGAACTCAAAAGATCCAAATCTTTTGAATCTTAAACTTGATTATTTTAAAATGCACTTTTGTGTTCATAGGAAACTGGATGCTCTGAACACGCACAAAAATAAATAAATAAAAATTTCATAAAACGCATCTAAATATTACATTACATTTTGTTTTAAGTATTTTAATAATAAAAAACAAATGACATTTACTTATTAATAAACTCATTGTCATGATCAGCAACCACCAATCCTGGAATGGAATTATCTTTTCGTAAGAAGCTCTGAAACGATGCTGGGGGAAGAGGCAAATCTGAGGGAGCTTCTGATACTTCAATATTTCCAACCCTTTTTGATTCTGCTTTAATAAGCTGAATTAAATGTTTCACCTAAAAATATTTTTTAAAAATGATTTTAAAGAATCTAAATAAAGAAAAAATCAGCAATGTATTAAAAGCTACACTAAAGAGGATTCAATTTCAATTCAGCCTTTAATTCATAAAATATTATAGCTCGGCTTATTCCCTGTCCCCCCCCCCATTCGAGGCATCAAGGGAATACTATTGAAGGATCAGTTTAGGTCAAATCTCAATTCCGTTTTCAAAAAGTCTTTTTAAAATCTCTTCAATTCCTTTGTTTATTTTCTTTTGGATCCAGTTTCTTTTAATGGTATCAAAGGTGAAATTTTTCGGGAAAAATTTTATCCTTAAATCATTATAAACTGGACAAACAGTAAGTATGTGTTCGATATCTTCATAACTCTTACAAACTTTACAGTCCGGGTCTTTCCCGAACAATTTTGACTGATAACTACCCTGGGCTCCATGGTTAGTTAGAAATTGATTGATAATAGAAGTTGGAGTAGATTTTTTGAATACTGACTTTTGGGATAAATTGGTAAGTGTATCGACCCTTTGTATTACTATTATCCCATCTTTGCTGCCATGTTTACATCAAATATTATGTATGAATTCAAATATGGGATAAAATTAACGGGAGCCAAAGGCCACATGATGACTAAATGGCGATTAAAAAATAGCCTGTTAGTTACACTTTTGTTTTTTAACGAAAGTATGCATTTATCATTTTTTAAAAAATAAATATGGATTAATGAATATTTTATACTATTTTGGAAATTAGTTTATTTTTCGCTTAAAATTCCTTTAGTTCACACTTCATTTTAGAAATGAATCTCATAAGGTTTACCATATTTCGAGAAATGCTTTACATTATTAATAAATATTTAATTATTTTAAATTTCGAATTTTTGAAAAAATGGCTACTGTTCAAAATGCTACAACTGGCCAGTAACAAAATATCCTGATTTAATCCTATATATCCATAAAATGTATGGTGCAAAGAAATTTTGTTCATTTCGGACAGGCTCAGACTTCAAAATATGAGCCTGAAAACATGACTAAATTACTGAAATCTTCAGTTAGATTCTTTTAAAATTTACAAACAATTTAAATTGATAAAATGTCACTATTTTCTATAGTATTAAATACATCATACAACTGTGAGTATAAGTTGCACCCCCTATTTTTGATTACGAGATAGAAAATTTCCGGTACATCAGGTGTGTAAGTCCACTAAAGTTGAGGAAATATCTCCAACTTAAGGATATTTTCTCACGTTGAAGTCATACGTCAAATGCTACTATAGCAGGGTAAAACGTAGATTCAAATATTATAGTAAAATATTTTATGAAGTGTGGAATTTGGAACTTTTTCGATGTGAATGGAGACGATTTTTGTGTGACTCAGCAGATGAGGATTAAGTAGAATCCATTGCAGAAAGGGATCTATATCACGAAACTACTATTGTTATTGAATCCAACACAGATTATTATCTGGTATCTTAAAATTTGAAGCTTTATGGTATGCTATAAAAGTTTTTATTTTGCTATATTTTTCTGAAATACTCTTGAATAAATTATCAACTTTTCCTCTAATTTAGAATTTTAATCTAAAGTATTATTTCTAAAAAAACCTTTATATGAAAAGAAAATATGATGTAAGAAAATGGAAAATTAACTGTATTTGGCACAGTAAAAATAGTTTTTGAAAGGAATCAATTAATAAAGAGTAATTAATCACTGTTTATAAGGCATTGATAATACACTGTTTATAATGATTCTCCATCACAATCAGTGAATGTCCGACTTTATTACTGGTGATGAAGTCGACCTCTTGATTTTCATAAAACTTTTAAGGGTTTGAAAAGTTAACTTATATACAGGGCCTGTGTTAAGGACTTCAAATTATTAGCCAAGTATCTAACGTATCGGCCAAATTTTCAAAATGGCCAATCTAAATGTTTTATTTTAATGATTGATTTTTCACATTGAAAACTTCAAATAAAAATTTACTATAAAATGAATTATTTCGTACAATGCAAATTCAAATCACGTCATTTTGCAGTTGGAGAGGAATAAAGGAGTAATGAATGGGAGAGAGGATGGATGAAAAATATAGAGTTGTTGAAATATGTTGCTTAACAAATATATGTAATTTTATCGTCCATGTGGGAAAGAAATAGAAGTTGGGGTTAATTTGTAATAACTTCTTAGACTAGAGCAGTATTATAAGGATAAATCTTAGAAACATGTTATTATAATGTTATTGTCATGATAAAACATATTTTCTGCAAAAATATTTGGATGAAAATATGTATCTTGCTATCACATGATCTGCTTTGTTGACACAAACTGTAGGAAAAATTTCGTCATGTGATCCTACAACAAACATGGTAATTTCCATTTTAAGGTTTGATGAATGCTTTCATTATCTGGACTTAATATAATTCTAATTGGATATGTGGCACACCTAACAAAGATTACAGTAATTGAATATGAAGTACAGGATTTAAACAGAAAAATTTCTTTTGATCTTTTTATGTTTTCAGGGATAAGTAGAATACATATTTTTCTTTTCTGTAGAAAAGATCATTCGCTAAAAAACAATTCTCCCCGAATTTACAATTTTATCATATTTGGTAAGGTGGCAAATGATTAGTGCGTACCCTGATACACATAGGATGAAAACTTTAAAAAGTATGCTTAAAAATGGGCATAAAAGTTTGAATGTATCATATTGAATAGATTAGCAATTATTATCTGCATTTTATATCCAATTGTATTATTTCCTTCGAAACATAATTAAAAATAAAAAACTTAATAATAATTTATGCACACTCACTTCATCTGAGACATTAACACTCTGATTCATTGAGACAGGATCAGTATGCAACCAGAGAATAGGCAGACTTTCAGGCGTCACAGGCGCCAGTTGACTCAGTTCAATAAAATGAGATATATGCTGAAGATTTATGAGAGCCGGCTGGTCTCTTATGCCACCTAATATACGAACTGGAAATTGATCTTTCTGCATATCAAACACCACACGGCTGGAACCAATGTAATCAAAAGCTTCCTGATAATATAATAAAAGGCTAAATATGAAAAATAATTGATCTAAAATTTTAATGTAAACTGGGGTAAAAATAAATAATATTAATTTACAGCAACAAATGAAATTGATGTTACAATGAGCTTGTCACTATATGCAAATGCACATATTTAATGGTAAAATAGCAATAAAAAAGACTAATAAATGGAATAATCACACTCTACTTTTATTTTGAACAACTATTTCAATTTAAAATATGTAATTAGAATAATCAACGATTGCATACGAATTTGAGACTGGACTGGGAGTTTTTGCAAGAAGCAAGGAAAAATTCAAATCAAGCTCAATAATTTTTTATCTCATCAATAACAGATATTGAATTAAATGTAAGTTGTCAAGAAGGGTAATAAGGTGGCATGGTTGATATCTGATCAGTAAAAGGTGCATTCTGTTGAAATGAGTAAGATGATTCTTAAAAATAGCAGAAGAAATTTTTTTTTTGAAAAAAGGAAGAAAACTTGAGCAGTGGGTGCCCACATATGCTTGCCTTATAAAAATTAAGGTTCTAAAAAAAATTAGATGAAGTTGTGTTCACTTTAACTTTTATGCAAAAAATATCTTCAAATTTGCCTCTTTTGCATATTGTTAACTATTACAGCAGAAAAAATATAACCTAAAAAAATTATAGGTAAAAGCTAGTAATTATAAACTTTTGCTTAGAAACGTAGAACTTTTGTATCCTTAATATAAGCATTTTTAAGGGGATTTGGAAACTTGTAATGTCGGAGACATCACTTAATATGACGTCTTTGTTACAATGAACTTTTAATATATATGATGAAATCATCTCATAAGACTTTAAACAATAAAACTAAACTGAAATTCTTTGATTCCAGATAAATAAATATTCATCTAATATATTAAGATAATAGATAAATTTTCAACTAATAGATAAATTTTCATCTAATAGAGGAAAAGAAATATTCATCTAATAGATCAGTTTTGTGTGGGTAATACAGTAACAATTTAACTGCTTAAGATTTGATACATTACATTTTAATGCTGCATTTTAGAAAAATTTAGGTGTATTTTTTAAAGTTATAATTAAAAAATATACTTGTACTTTATATGTTTTTAATATATATATTATTAAACAATATACACTTTTTGTACATGACAAATACAGGGAACGTAAAAATATGCCATCAATGTGCTTAGTCCCCAAAAGTAAAGTTACCAATCTTTTCATATATTAAAATAATAATTAAACGGAAAAAAAATTAGATACACCAATAAGCTTATCTAACAAAAAAAAAAAAAAAAAAAAATTCTTACGCCATTAAAAATAATAAACAAGATGTTTTTCTCCACTTTTCCTTTAAGTGCAAGTTCTATTTCACTCTTTAAAGATTCCATATTTTTGGCAACAGCTAATAAAGTTACTAGGCCTGTAACTGTTGAATGAGCTCCTGGGGCAAGTTTATCAAACATTGAAAATGAATCCAACTGTAAAAAGACAAATTGTTTACACAAGCAAATCATTACATCTTAAACAATAAAAAAAGAAGTTTTAAATAATTAACTTTTGGCTTCATATGACATTTTTCAAATCTTAACTAGAATATTTTTAACAAAAATCGACTAATTTATTACGGTTACCAAACAACTAAAAACACTCACTCGAGCTCCAACAATAATCACAGAATCATTTCGTATTTCTTCACTTTTATTAGTTGGAAACAAGGTATTCACCACATTCTTATCACTAAGAGGATCACAAGTTTTTACTAAAATTAATGAAAAGCTCAATTAGAATGTAATAATGTAAAGTTAATAAACGAAACGAAAAAAGACAATATCATAGTATTTAAGCTACTTATTCAATACAGGTTTTTCACTAATCAATACCATTAATGTAAACGGTTACTAATAAATTTAAGAAACAAACCTTCATTCAAGTTAGCGATGAGATTATTACGTCGCATGCAAGTTTCACTATCTTTGGCAGCCAACATAACACTGGTCATTTGCACAGAACACAATGGCCAACTTTTTGTAGAACCATTGTTGAACTTTTTGTAACACTAAAATTAAAAGAAACCAAATTGTAGAAATACTTTTTAAAATAAAGTTCAAGAGTATTATGTTAATGCAGCCTGGAAATGACAAATTGATAATGTCTCTCTTTTCATATTAGGTGAGCATTTATCTGTACTTAAATATATATACATATATATATATATATTAACTCTATTTTATAAGAACAATTTATTGATTCCATAAATAATAACGTTTACCTGAAGGTCTATGAATCTTAATGCTTCGCATAAAGTCGTTTTATTGGTAAAAAAATAATCCTACAACTTTTAAGGTGAGCAGCTAAAATTAAATTTTAAAGGACTAGAAAATACATGAAATTTTTAATCTTTAACAGTAAATTATTATTTTTTAGCTGCTTGTAAAAATTAATTAATTTGATGTAAACAATGTCCTCATGGACAAAATTAAAATCTTTATTATTAGTTATTACAACCTAATCTATATTAATCAGACACATTACGCTATATTACACACAACTAACAACTTTTTATTATTATTTGAGAAGAATTCTATGAAGGATTTAAAACAAAAATATTATATACTATACTAATCAGAAATATTACATTATAATATACACAACTAAGAACTTATTTTATTGTTGATTATTTGAGAAATATTATTCTTTGGAGGATACATTATTTTAACCCTTAGTTCAAGTCATTAAGTGAGAAAAATATGCAAAAGTAGAAAATAAAAAAAATATATTATGGTCTTAAACTTGAATTAATGAGATGAAGTCGCTTCAATTTAAAGAAAATAAGTTTTGTGTTTAATTATGTCAATTAATAATTAGTACATTTTATAATCTCTATCTGTACCTCAAAAATCAGAGATTACTAAATTCTATTTGATGTCAATGAAACAAAAGGATCTTTTGAATATAATTTATTTTCAGTATGGGTTAATGATATAAGAAAAGCTGATTTTGCCTTTCTTGACTCATTAAAAAAAATAAAAATCTCAATAAAATATTTTTAGCTATTCATTGAATTAAAAATATTTTTTATTAGTCGATGTTTCCTTCTTTCCTAAGCATCAAAACTCATTTTTACCAATTAACTTTTTTTTAAAAATTTATTTTTAGTTACAACTTCAAAAGTTTTTTCTTTCTTTCTTTTTAACAATACCAAACAATACATAGCCTAGACTCTCAGAACAAACAAACAATTTCCTAGAAAAATTTACTTGAATTTCTTGTAATTTTTCTTTTGTCAGTACAACCTTATTAGTATGTAAACTATGAAGCTTCTACAAGAGTCAAACTTTAAAAGAGGAAAAAATGTGGTTATTTTGTAAAATTTCCAGAACAAAAAAAATTATCATAAAACAGGATATAAGAATAGTTAGACAACTTTTAAAAATTCAATTTTTAATTACATTATTTTTCAATTGGCAGAAATAATGAATGAAAAAAATATATATGTAATACTTTTAAAAATATAAATGAATACTGTTTTTTTTATCACATTTTTCTTAATTGATATAGGGTTACAAAAAGAGTATGTTTAGCCACAACAGCAGAACTGGAGATTTTTCGACGGATAAACTAGAGTGAAAATGCTACAAACAGAATATGTACGGTTATAGTCTAAAAACAAATATTGCAGTGTGCAAAAATTTTAGTATCTTCTTTGGAAGAGGAAACACTTTTAGTTCATTTTCTACAAAAGGATGTAATGCTGAATTGGTTAATTAATTATTAGCTAACTACTATTAGCCTTATTTTGACCATTTGCATTAAAAACAAACAAACATGGATCTTTTAAATTTCAAATTGCCAAATTTTCCATAACTCAAGATGCTTTGAATTGTGGAGTTGTTTAGTATGTGCAGCATAAGAGTTAATTACAGTGGGCTTGAATACTAATCAAAAGATGATAAATATGAACATTTGCATGTAGCATCTCTTGGAGCTCAGCTGCTTGTTTATGGAATGCTTTGACTAACCTTCTATATGAGAACATTGAATTCTAGTTGCTTACCAGAAGGCTTTGTTAACTATAGTCAAGACTCTTCTAGATTACAAGAAAAAGAGAATTCCACCAGAGACTCACTTCGTTTCGTCTCTGGTGCAATTTTTCTTGTTTTCGTTTCTAGAATGCATGTGACTCAGACAGATAAAACTTAGGGGTGCAACCGTTCAGCCCCACAGATGTGTGAAATGTCCTTTGGGATCCATAATAAGATAAAACTGTGAACTGAAAAGGATTAACTTTTTATTCCAGAGGTACCTCATTGTTTCCTTTACTATTTGAGAATGCCACCCTAGCATTATAGTAATGCTTATACAGGTAAAATTGTAGTTTAAATTGAGGTTTGGTTGGTGTGTCTTGGTAATGTTAAGTGGCAAATATATGTTTCATTTAGCTTTTAATGAGCCTTTCTTATTTCAGACATATTAACTCTCTAACATGAGTTATTGCAGGTTCTTGTTGGAAACTTTTACAGCAGTTCTCTGTAAAATGTACAGTTAGTTAAAAAAGTTACAACAAAACAGTCACCCAAATTTCACAGTTACATACAAATACTACTACAAATTTCTTATTAATATATTGCATGCAATTAAAAAATTGTAAATTCTGATGTTTTTAATTGCTTTAAATAACAGGGTTGCCACTTAATGTCAGAAGAAGATTCCCTGACTTTTTCAGATATTTCAAAAAAAAATTTCAATGTAAATCCAGACTATATATCATGCAATTTTATATTGGAACTTTACTGGAAAGTCAAATATTAGATTTCGTGAGGCAACTAATATATATGAGGATGGAAACATAGAAAAAAATTTACAAACATGTAGTATTCTTAAAATAAATAAATGTTACAATTATTTTATATGAATCTCAACAACTAATTACTGTTACTGACTGGTTACTTTTAAGGTAAGATGTAGGAATTTCCTCCAGGCTTTTGTAAGAAAATTAAACCTTCAACGTCTCTCTTTTTTCAGTCACACCATGCTAGTAAATTTTGAGCCCATTACTTAAATTTTTGAAAAAATCTGATAATAACTTCTAAATTTATCTATATATTTAGAAAAAAATTGCAATAAGGTACATATAATTTAACTTAAAACTGCTTTAGCACACTAAAAATGATATCTACATTACTTACATTTTCAATGCTCGTTATAGATTCATTGTTGGTAATGACAAATATTGGCATTCGCCAATCTTCAAACATCATCCCCATAGCTTTATTTTCAGGAAGATTGTTCCATTCTTTCTTTTTGCATGCCGCATATTCCTTATTCATAGATTCAGTATAAAACCCTTTTTAAGGAAAAAATCAATCTATATCAACTCAAGCAAATAACATAATAAAATAAACATTAATCAATGTCAATTAACACTCATTAAGTCAAAAAGCACTGAGAAATTAAGAAAAAAGATTCAAGATTAAAACTTAAAGACTTACATTAAAAAAAAAAAAAAAAGACTTAAGACTAAGGATAAAAAAAAAACTCAAGGCTGAAAAAGACATTTTGATGGTTTTAATCATGTCCTCATTTTGATTTTTTTTTTTTAAATAACGATCATCAAAAATTTAATAAAACATACGTATGTCTTTGTGTTGATTTTTTTTCTTTTTCAAATAACGACCATCAAAAACTTCAAATAAAACATAAGTATGTCCTCATGTTGATTTTTTTTCCAAATAACGACCATCAAAAACTTCAAATAAAATATATTTGTGAGCAAAATATCTTAAAATTACACTGCTTGTAGTGTTTTTGTTTTTAATAAATAAGCATTAACTAATTATTTTTTACACATGAACAAGAAGGTAAAACACTTATTCCTTTTAAAAATTATGCAGGAAAAAAAAATCTTGCTTACAAAACTTCAAAATGCCCATATTTTGATAACACGTATTAAATTTGAAACAGTTAAGTTATAACGTGTGGCATTAATAATATTAAAATAATCTTTATTTATGTTCAATTAAACTTATATAATTCATTTTATGCAAAGAGAAAAGACACATTACTAGAAATTAGTGACAATTTAAAGAATGAACTTTTAAGCAGAAGGGTTAAACACAAGTACCTTTTTTTACCTCCCATGTAATTCTAATAGGCAGACTGAAGAGTGCAACATATTTTACGAAAAACCATTTTTACAAATTATTTAATTAGTTTACTCTGAACTCTTATACTTATTAATTTATATTATTTCTAAGAATTTTTTTTAACCTATTTCCATTTCAAAGTTTGCATCTATTTAATTTCTTTCTTTCTTTTATTGTGTGTATAAAATTGCAAACTATAATGAGTGTTGAACTAATCAAATATACATGAATCAAACAGAATTTAAAGTAAATATTCATTAATACATAAATATAATTTATGCTTGAATCAAAATTCATTTTCATTTCATATTCAATTTTATGTAATGCAAATTTCAGGCTAAATATAAAATAATTTGGTCTCATAAATAAATGGTTTAATCAGGTATAAAAGCAGTTAAAGCTAACTTATAGAAGGTTAAAAACAGTTTGATAAATATTTATGAGCATAAAGATCAACACATATAATAGTCTCATTCAAAAAATAATAAATAAATATTCAAAGTTGGAGAACTATAAATAATTAAAAACTTAACATTTTATATTGCTAACCAAATAAAATGTTACTTAATAGAGTAAAATTTCCTACTAATCATGAGTTATTTTAAACAATATTAAATTTAAAAACATTACCATAGTTTCTGTTAGGGCAAGACTGATCAGGGGAAAAATTCTTTATTTCTTTAACAATGTGATCAGGTTTAAATATGAAAGCTCCCCTTATGTTTTCTGATTGTTTCAACTCTTGCATGTTTTTCCTGAAAAAAAAAAATTTAATTCAATAAACTATACAATTAAAAGACAAATCAGAACAGATACTAGGCATAATAAATAAATGCAAAATAAAAATTTTAAACTATTTTTTTAAGTTTTATAAAGATCATCATAGCTAAGCCTTTCTTTGTTTGGCATTCTATTAAGAATGTTGGCACAAAAAAAAAGACAACAAAATTTAAAAAAAAAAAACCAAAACAGTATACAATTCCTATACAACCATTGCTGGTCCAGGGGATCATTAAAAAATGATTTTCTGGTTATCCTAATAAAATTGCTCTGGTCCCAGATGTGGCTGGGCAATATATTTATAAAACACATTTGATAATGTAACCTTCATTTCTCATGATGCATTGGAATTTTGGTTTAAGCTCCTGATATAAATATTGACAAATCCATTTAATGGCAATGTAATGATATAACCATTTAACATGCAAGGATCCTTGTCTACCAAAACTGCGATTGATGATGATTTTAATTTCGCTCAGCTACAAAGACCACGTTCGTTTCTTGATGCTTAGTGACAAGGAGTGAATTTAATTTAAAGTTGCAATTTTTTGTATGGAACAGTGTCAAAATATAGAAAACAATGCATTCTTTTTTTAGCTTCAAGGTTTTTTAAAACATTTCTTGAAGATTATTTTCAGTGAGAGATGTTTCAAAAGTGCATTCCTCCCCAAATAATTAAAAATTTTGTTTCACTCAAGTGTATTATTATTTACGTTTCTTTGCTACCAATCTGTTTATATTTCTACAAATATTTTTTTAAATACATGTAGGTAAGTTAAATATTTTGATAGACTTTCATTATACCATTAATAAGTAGTTTTTAATTAAAAAAAATTAAAACAAAATTCACATTTGTTTTTACTTTTAGAATTTAGTTTTAAGTCAATCAATCTTTATGATTTGAATTTTTAAAAAAGAAATATAATGTTATTGATGCTATAAATATTTTTTTTTGTATAATCAACATTTTCCTTTAAATATTAATTTTTCAAAATTAATTAAATTCAAAATACTGTAGAGCCTTCCAAAAAAATATGTTTACAAATCTTTTTATTCATAAAGGGAGACTATTATATATTTATATTCCTTCTCCTAAATTTAATGCAACTCTTTAACTAAATGCTTTATTTAGAGACAAGATTCCTATTCATTATCAGACAGGGTTCCTAAGTGATAAATTGCACAAGAACTGGAAAAATTAAAAAACTTATAATACTTATTAATAGAGTCACACCTAGTTCATTATTTGAGGTCATATCTTATTTATGATAAAAGTTAATTAAGTACCCAAAATTAATTTATCTAGAAAGCATGATTCTAAAAATAAATCATTACAAGCACCAGCCTATTAAACTGTTAAACCCCAGGCATACTAAATATTTTGAACAAATTTATGTTCTTATTTAAAATAAATCTAAGAAATTTTAAATATTTTAAAATGAAATTTATATAAGTAATAATTATAATATATTCATTTACTTTGACCCTCAGCTAGCTATTGTTATTGTAAATTTTCATACCTGTAATTTTCTAGGTTAGTAGAATGATTTTCCCTGGTTTCTGCTAGAAAATGCAATATTCCTGAGCAATTTCAGGTTTTCCTGGCACTTTATCACATATTATTTGCGATATTATATATCTGATGATTTAATACACTTATTTAAAACCTTTTCCTTGCATCATAATGAATTTATTTTTATCGAAAAAATACATTGTCATATTGTACCAAAAACTAAGGAAAAAAAAAATCGAATAAATTATGCTCTTAAATATTTTAAATAAAAAACCTACATGTTGAATAATGTAAAAGGCATGGCAACGATAAATGGCATAGGAGGTGGTTCTAAGCTAATTTTATCAATATCTTCTTTAGTTTCCAAAAGATAGAGGACACCAACATTTCCATTTCTATGGGCTAAAAATAAAAGTTAGCTTATTAATAATTTATTGTCTTAAATATTGGGCTTTAAAAGAATTAAAATTACCTACATGCACAGCCAATTTGATGAGTGGCATTCAAACGTCGAAAACAAAATATATCACTTTGAATATTCTCATATATTTTAAGACTTGTTCTGTCTCCAAAAGAGTCTGGTAAAAACATTAAAAATAAATTCACATGATGAATATACAATATAAATAGCATTTTTGTTTTTAAAAAATATTGAAAAAGAAGCTGTTCTTTCTGAGGTTGCTCTAGGTTTTATTCTTTGGGGTCCATTTTTGTATAAAATGGAAAATCATTGTTGTGAAAAATTTCTAATTAATGATTAACATTTAGTTTTAGCTATTACTATTCACTACATTTAATATCAAAAATATATCAAAATAAATATATGCAGAAATTTGATAAAGTGATAAAAAAAAATTTATTTTTTATTTATTATTATTTAACGCTAAAAATTCTACCTACATTTTATTAATTGTTAACATGATAACACATAGGTGCATCAAAATAGTTTAAAAAAGTTAAATGAACAGAGTAGAAAAAAGCTCTTGTAAGATATATACTTTCCATTTTCTTTATTATTTTGCTTAACGAGCTCTTCAATGATGTATAGCTATCAAAACAGCGCTGGGTTTTTTAAAAAGACCTATCAAAAACTGTTTAGTTCTGACAAAAACCCAGGACAAGTTTCTTTTCTGTCATTGGGTTACAAGTAAAACTAAAAAACTATTTAAATTATGCAAAATACAAATTTTAATTACTAATTTAATTATGATTCATACTATATAACATATAAAAATTTTATCCAATATTCTTGAAACTATTAACTGTTTTTCAAAAAAACATGGTTCAAAACATATGCATTTCCCTCTATTCATTCAAAACATACGCAAGCGCATATGATAAACTGAAAGCAACATTGCAAAATGTGCTAAATACGAAAGGCAAAAGGTGTTTTTTTTTTCACTTAAAACAACTAAGCGATTTTATTTGACCTTTTGGCAATTTTAGCAGGCTTGAACAGATACCGTTATGGAAATATTCACTAGAACATACATAAATAAACATAAATGATACATAAAATGCATAAACACTTCAGGGGTCTGTCTATGTTTTTCTGAGAGGTACCTATTTTGTGAAAATTTAGACATAATTTGTGAAAAATTTAAAATTATATTAAAAAAATCAACACAAAAATATGGTAAAAATATGGATTTATCGTTTCTTAAGGGATACAAAAACAAAATTTTAAGAAAAAGTATTTTGGGAAACTACCGTTTTTCCTTAAGTTGAATTTGTGAAACTACCGTTTTTCCTAAAGTTGAATTTGTGAAGGTACCGCTAAATTCGGCCTGGACAGACCCCTGCACTTAATGAAGTGCTCCTTAGCATATGAACATATTCTTCACACATTAATATTGAAAGATGTTAACCTTATCTAAAATACTTGAAAAAACATAATTTATGAAATAGTGACGGATATTAATTAATATCAAACATTATAAGTAGAAAAAGATAGAAGTGGGTTGCAATTTTATTAGATAGTACAAATAAAACATCAAGAATCAGAAAGATACATGATTTTAGTTGAATATAATTTTTAGGTCGTTAAGATCTTGAAATAAAATTTTCCATTAAGTTGATAATGAATAAAAATGGGGACATTCATAAAAAAAAAAAAAAAAGATGGGCAAGTGTATAAATTATCAACGTACACAACTAAAAAGAATATAAATTGACGATCTAACAGTATGACACAATGTTAGCCATGAACTGCAATTCACAACAAGGAATAAAATGTACCGTTACAATACTTAATATTTATTATATCATAGTTTGCTTCGATGGTGGAAAAAAAAATATTAAAAATTTCAGCACTAACAAAAAGATTATTATATTTTAAAAAATAAATTCAAAGTAATAAAAAAATGACTGTTTTTTACCTTGAAAGAAAATACTGAGAAAAACCAAAATTATTATTGATTTTAAATTAGTCATGATTTTTTACGAATACTTTTAAAGTTTAAAGACATTCATTACAGAAGATTGTATTAGAATCTCAGATAAAAGAATGAAGACAGGAAATAGAGGTTTTAAAAATTACTTTCATTTAAATTCAGGCAATGCTGCGAGTTTGAAAAGTTGTATGAATCTATATTAATACATAATTTTTGATCAAAAAACGAAAAAACGTGATGAACTGAATGAAAAAGGTTACTTTATAGAACCTTGCAAACAAACACAATCGATGCACTGACGAATTTCATCGATACCTTATGTCGAAAATTATATTGTTTGACTGAAAATAATATAAGATAAAAACCTTTAAAATAATGATATTTAAAAATTGTTTAATAATGTGAAGCAGCTTAATCTTTTTGCAACTTTAGCAAGGATATTTGCAGTCTTCACTTCATTTGCAGAATAACTTCCCTTTGAATGGCATTCCCTTAACGAGTGAAACCAAAACAATAACAAATCTTTTTTTTTTCATTCCTTGTGTTTTAGAAAAGAAGTGAAAATTGTATAAAAATATGCTTTTATAAAAGCGAAGCAAAAAAAAAAAAAGAATGTTATCTATATAAACTATTTAGTATTTATGTCAGTTCGCATGAAAGGTTGTTTCGAAATTTAAAGTAACCAATGAAATAATATTTCTCTTGAAGTTAAATATTCACTTAGAAAGGTAAGTTTTAGTTATAACAACTGTTATTTTTTTCTAAAATTTTTAAAACACTTTTATTCTAATGTTTGTGATTATATAAACCTACCCATTTTTTAAAACTTAATAATAGACACATTTTAGCACATACTCTTAGATATATCTTCTACAACACTATAAAACTTCAATTTTTAATTATTTAGTTGTGAGACTCATAAGCCAAACTATTGGGTGTATTTTAATACATAAAAGAATCAAGGTTATATATCTAACGTTAAGAATGTAATTACAGTTTCTCTACCAAAGAGAATGCTCAAATGGACTTTTCTAACTTTCATTAACTTTAAAAATACTGTTCTAAATGGGAAAAAAATTATAAAATTGTAATGAAAAAATGTAAAATCGTAGCTTTGGGAAAAAATACTTCAAGTTCTTTAAACATTACATTCTAAAGCTGATCTAATAACTGAATTACTTTTCTTTGAAAAAATCTATCCTATCATTAAAAATACATTTTAGTATCTACGATAAATTATAATAAAATGTATTTTAATGTATGTACAGTGGAGCAACGTTTATACGACGTTTTAGTGTGGTCCCAAATCACTCCTATTCATTTTAATGTAAAAATATATTGTGACGCACAGAATCGGTTATACGTCGGTTTTTAGATTTTGTGCACCTTTATTTAATTTTTTATTTTTTCTTGTGTATTTTATAAAAGGGCGGAATTTGCCAACATGAAAGATACAGAAAAGGGTGCCAACAAGAATGCTTGGATGACGATCGTAATTTTTACTAGATGACTGACAAAACTAGACAATGTTATGAAGAGGCAAAAACGGAAAATTTTGCTATTCATCGACCAATGCCCAGCACTCCCATCGATACTAATTATTTTGGAAAATGTAAAAGCTCTCTTTTTTCCTGCAAATTGCACAAGTGCGCTTCAGCCCTTAGATTTGGCCGTGATTAGAAATCTAAAATTGCATCATAGACAGCAGTAAGTTCAACTCGCTATTCAAAGCATTGTAGAGACTAATAGCAAGAAAATATAATTAAAGGTAACATACATTCAAATTGCTCACTGCAATTTTTCTTCTTTGGTTATTTCTTTCTGAATAACTTTCGC